GAGCGAGAGAGAGAAATAAACTGCTCAAAAATGAATAGAGATATTAGTCATTTATTCTTATTCTATTAATTTTAATTAAATTAAAAGATATATTCTTGTTAGTTGGTTAAAACAAAATAGAAAATAGAAACCAAAAACAAACTTTATGTTAATACTCATTTTTAATAACGGTTTTACTTAAGAATAGTAAACATGAAGATTACTCATTTTGTAAACAAACGCTTTTCTTGTCTTTACTCCATTTGAATCCAGTTGTGTTCTCTTTAACCATGCGCATCACCATATTACATCATCTCGAACCAGAATTTCGCATTATTGTGAGGCTGAGTCATCGAGGTCACCGACATAGTCGATATCGCAGAAGCAGTTGGTGTTACTCAGAGCGTGATCTCCCGGTATATGTAATATACACCGACAGGCAAAAAATTCCACCAATTGATTTTTTTTTTATCGATAAAAGAAAATTCTGCGCTTAATTTGTCTCATTGTTTTTATCAATAAATATTCGTTTATGCTGTTTTAAATTGGGAATACCAGTTAGAGGAAAAAACACTTAATCCTTAATCCAACACAAGGATATAGGATTTTTCAATGTTTACTTTTTACGGAATTTAAAATGTTTATTCAGTCTCATTTGAATTCTAAAGCAATAAAAAAGCAATCGGAGCTCCCTATGAAAACACTCTGAGACGCGGTTAGACGTTTTCGAGAAACTGGGTCCTACCATAGAAGGCCCAGTTCTGGACGCCCTAGGGTAACAGAACCACAGGATGAGCGTTTTTTGACTTGAGAATTGTTCGAAACCGGTACCTTACTGGTGTTCAAGCGATTCATCAGCTCCAGGATATTCGAGGCGTCCAAATTTCTGAACGCCTGCTCGAAGAAAATTAAATGAGTATGGACCCAGTAAAAGAACCAGTAAACACAAAGTTGCACGGTTCGCATTTGCTCGAGAACACAGCCATTGGTCTTTGGCCGGCTGGTCTGCTGTACTTTTTACAAATGAGTATAGAGTTGCTTTACGATCTCAAGATGGGCGTGAAAGAGTGTGGAGAAGGCGAAATGAACGAAGCTTGTAATTTTCCCAGAACCGACCTTTTCACCGTAACTAGTGATGGTATGGGCGGGAATCTCAACGCAGAGTCGCACATGGTTGTTGTTCGTGGAGGGTCTTTGACGGCCACTCGATATGTGGGTGAAATTTTGGATCATCATGCGTCCTTGATGAAATCAACGACAATCCAATTCTAATTCACGATAATGCCCGTCCGCATATCGCACGCATAGTACAAACTTACCTTCAGCAGCATAACATCAGGATCTTAGCCCGGCCATCTCGTTCTCCAGACTTGACCCCCACCGAACATTTATGGGATAACCTCAAAGGACAAATAAGAGCACGTCCATCATTTCCTGATACAATCCACGATCTTGAAAGGACTCTTCGTAAAGAATGAGCTAACCTCCAGCAAAGAGACATTTCCAGACTGGTAGAAGGTCAGGATACCTATCAACCTCCTAATTCCCTACCTTGAGTTAGAGAATAGCCATTTCGATTCTTTTGGTTTGATCAACTTCACAAACTCCTTCCATTGCCTATGTCCGGAGGACCGATTCCACTTCCTAAGGAATCCATCAGGTATGCGACTACTGCCATCAGAGTTCCATACGAAGCATTGAGAGACACCGTTAGACATTTTCAAGAAACTGGGTCCTACCATAAAAGGCCCGGTTCTGGACGCACTAGGGAAACAGAACCACAGGATTTTTTTTTTACTGAGAATTTTGTGAAACAATTGGTTTGTTGTACTTTTTACAGATGGGTGTAGATTTGCTCTACAGTCTCTGGATGGACACGAAAGAGTGAGGAGAAGGCGAAATGAAAGGTTTGAAGCCCGTAATTTTTCCCCGAGCCAACCTTTTCGACATAGCTCAGTGACGGTGTGGGTGGAAATTTCAGTGGAGAATCGCATAGAGTTGGTTGTTGTTTGTGGAGTGTCTTTGACGGCCACTCGCTATGTGCATGAAAGTTTGGGAACATCATGCGTTGCCTATCCTTGATGAAATCAGCGACAATCCTATTCCAATGCACGATAATGTTCCGCATATCACAAGCATAGTACAAACGTACTTCAACACCATAACATCAGGATCTTAGCTCGGCCATCTCGCTCTCCAGACTTGAACTCCATCGAATATTTATGTGATGACCTGAAAAGACGAATAAGAGCACGTCCATCATTTCCTGATGCACTGCACGATCTTGAAAGGACTCTTCGTGAAGAATGAGCTAACCTCCAGCAAAGAGTCATTTCCAGACTGGTAGAAGGTCGCCGAGTCGTCTTCGAGATGTAATTAAGGCGAGGAGGAAATACGTATTCAATAAGTATAACTCTCACATAAGTATTCAATAGGCGATATTGAAATGTTATTTAAAAATCTAAACCAAAATTAAAATTACATGGTCTTTTTCCGTCTTTTTTGTTAAACTTTTTTTGTACAGACTCAATATTAAACGTAAATATATAAAAATACATAGAAATCAAGTTATATTACAAGTGGGTGAAATTTTTTGCCTGTCAGTATATATATATATATATATATATATTACATACGAAAAGAATGAACGTAGCGATGCATTTTTTAAAAGCTATTTTATCTTCACATTATTAGAAATGTATTAATTATGATTTTGTTTCGATTATTGTTGTTTTTTATGTGTTATAATACAGGAAATTACTTATTTACAATAAAATTCTATTGATTTTGAATTAAACTTTCCACCTTTTTATTTATAGTTGTAAACCAATAATTAAACTTTGTTTTCAATATATTTCGTAAATAATAAATTAATACTAGTGAATTAGTTCCTATTAACTTTACCAAGATGATTTTAATATGTTTAACCTATCTAAGGACAGGTCTAAAGGTTTGTCATTGGTCGAGTTAAGGTTGGTATTCAAAACCAGAGGGGGCCTACTTTATCTCAATGGTGCACCTTTTCGGGCTAGAGAAAATGTAATTTGTTCATTATGCAATGATCAGGTTAAAGAAGACATCGGAGATTCGGCTTCTGCATCTAAATTTTGCTAAATTGAATGTGACACAGGTTATTGACTTACTGCTTAATGATTACAAAAATTTAATCAAATATGCTCGCCACGCCTGGCACTATCGCCAAGAGTTAATATTAGAATTTAATTTTTGAATATTTTAAAGCCTTGTCATTCTAAATTGCTGGCTCAAATAATTTATATATCTATACTTATTGCAAAATAAACAAAGAACAAAAGTTATTGTTTATAATGTATGTTAGTAATTAATGTAATTAATAAAAATTATCAATTGTAATATTTATTTAAGGATCAATTTTTTTTATTTTTTTCTTTTGTACTTTTTTCTCTGTGTCGACCAAAAATTTAAGTCAAATGAAAATCGACCTCCGGCAGACAGACCCTCCATGCCGTAATTTTACTTTAAATTATATATTTTGTAATGTTTATAACTTTTCTTTTTTGCAATAAAGTATTATTATTAGTAGTAGTTGTAGTTCCTATTTAGTAGTATTATTATCCTTAAATTAGTCATTAACTGGCCTCTATGCGAGAGAGGCTGTACTACAAAGTTATCTTTCAAATGTACACCGCTAGATGGAGATTGCCTTGAGACTTTAAACATGCTACTTGCAACTTTAGTTAATGAGCTAATAAGTTAATATTGATTGTATTTTATAGCTTTAAACAGTACTGAACAAAATTGACATAAAATTATTTATAACAGTTACGACGGTGGCCGCAACGGTTTGCGTTAACACGGCGATTATCACTGTAAGGTAAAGGTCCCAGGTTCGAATCCAGCGGCCCTGCATTCGAACCCGACATACTTACAAATGGGCTTTTTTTTCAAAAACACCTTCACCCCGAGGGTTTATATGACCTCTGATATTGCGAACCCTTGTAAAAAAAAAAAACAGCGAACGACAAACCTTCGGACAAAATAATTGTTTTAATAATTTTTTAAAATAACAATTTTTAATTGTTATTCGGTGTGTGGCGTTGATAACGAACAAGTTTAAGTTATAATTAAACTACTATTAGTTATAGTTACAATTAGTTATCTGCCCCAAAGAGAATCTAAATCGCAAAAGAAGGTTCGTCCAGAACCGGCTTAGGATCGGTCATACGCGGTAGACATGAGGAAATTTAGTTTCTGGCAATGTCCGCGTACATGTCCAGCAGAGAAATGTTGCTCGAAGTCTCATCAATTTGACGGGGTCTTTCCTTGGTTCTATATAGAGAGCGAGTATGAATACCAGCTTGAGCGCTATTTTTATGATTTCTGGAGGAAACCGAACTGTTTCATTGTATAAAGTGTTCGATATTTACGTTTCGTTTTGTATTTTTTTTAATATTTGTGTGTGTGTGTGTGTGTGTGTGTGTGTGTGTGTGTGTGTGTGTGTGTGTGTGCTGAGATTGAGTGGATTTATTGTCTATCTTGTTGGTGGCCAAACAAGGGGCAAATAGTCATCATTATTTGCATGGAAGATAGAAAGAAAATGCATTATTGACTGGAAAAGACCGTGATTAGTTAGCGCAAAATCAGGGTTACAAAGTAGGGTGAGATGATTTCTTTTACGCAAACTGACCTGCGAGAAATGAGAACGGTATGCAGTTATTTATTTTATTAATTATATATTATGTTATTATTTCTCCTTCCACCAAAACGGGATATTTGCTTTAAAAATGTTTTGCCATTTATCTAGTTTTAATCATGAATCTCGAAAGAAATGGCCTTGCCATCTAGAACAAATTCAAAGCTCGAAAAGCAGCTTTGTAGTATTAGTAGCACAGTAGCTGGACCTCAATTTTGGTCAACCTTTTGTTTAGTCTTTCTGTCTTACGAAATAGACTGCTTAATTTTGTAGATTAATTTTCAAAAATTAACTTTTCATAGTTTTTAACCTAAATTTAAATTATAAGTACACAACTGGCCTAGAAAAAAATCACGAGGATCGATTCTTGCTTAGATATTACAGATAAAAGAAGTTTTTCTACATTGTGGCTTAAGGTTTAAGGTTACAAATAGACGGCCTCTTTACGACCTTACGCACCGTAAAAAATTTTCTAGAGCTCTTCCTTAAACTTGATCCTTTTTATCAAATCCCGAAGTTTTGTTAAGGACTCTCGTGTGTATCCTTTTACAGGCAACTCCAGAACCTATTCTGATTGAATTCCTCCCGAAGTGGTTCCTTAGAAATCCTGGCATAAACTCTCAAGCAAATTAGCATTCCCGACCAATGAAAGTAAAGTAGATAAAATTATAGAAAGAAGAGTCTCACCTTGAGTGTTGGTGTCACGATACCTTCACTTCTGCTGCACCAATCTCTTCAGCTGCAATTTAGAACGTTACTTACATTTATTTATGAGATCTTATTCGAAAATACATTTATAATTTATGCGGATATAAATATACCGTTTAGGCTATCCTATTGGAAAATCGGGAGGACCTAATCTGATAGATTTCCAGTACAATGGATTACAGCTAAATCCTCAGTTGTGAAACCACAATCCCTAATTGGTTCCAAAAAAATCCCGGATTAATATATTGATACGAACTGAGAGTATGTGTACCCAAAATGAAACGCCTTTAGTTGAATCAAAATAATTATAATTTGGCATTATTAAGTTGTATTTATTTATATATAACAGTTCATCTACATAAGAATTTTCGAGAAATGAAGGACCAAATCGGATCAAAAACAACGAAAGATCGTATTTTCAAAAGGATCGATGTTATTTTCAAACGAAGACATAAGAAATTTAGACGCAGGCATTACGAAACTGCACGAATTGCACTGTAAAAGTATGCCGTGTAATAACATCAGTTTCACAGACTTACCTTGATTGAGGAAATTGTAATTAGTTTAATTACTTTACGTGTATAATTTGAACGTCAAATTCAACAAAACGAACCTGCGATTATGCTTTGAACGAGGACGGATCTCGACCAAGGCCGCTCTGTAAATATCAGCGTTACGGGGATTTGGACACACCAGTCTGAAAAAGCAGCTTCTCGTTTAACCACTGTAAGTACAAGTTATATTCAAATTTGGATTGTGGGCTTTTTGGAAAAAAGACCTCATAAACAGGATGACATGATTTTTTGTTTTTTGTGCAATGTCTTGCAGTAATTACAAAGTATTATTTCGTTTTAAAGCATTTTATTACTATTTTGGAAATAATGAATAAAGTGTGTTGAGTAATTCATATTCTTATGATGTCCAAATAACTGTCAGAGCGAAAAAAATCTGAATGCAAAGCTATAATGTTTCGAACGTGTGCACAAGTAAAGTAGCTTAATTAATGACAAATTTAAGACGTAAAATTTATATAAATATTTTAGAAAATGAAATCATGTTTTATGTTTTATATACCTGACACGTGAAATGCACACCAATAATAATTGAATGTGTGTTGGCTTACTTATTGCGTGCAAAAACATGTATATACACAATTAATATTTAATATTAATTTTAATAGTTACACAGGGGCAGGATATAAAAGGAGATAGATATAGATTAATAGATAGATAGATAGAAAGAGAGAGAGAGAGTGATGAAAACGAATGAAGAAGTGGGAAATATGGACTTAAACAGAATGGAAGAGCAAGAAAGTATTGTAAGTACATATAGAGAAGGAAGAAAACGTTGCGTGAATTGAGCTAGAAATGGTTCTTGGAACCAGGATTCTGGTTGGACACATCACAGGGCACTGCTTCCCGTATTTACTCAGAGCCCTTAAAAGGACATGAGGATCTTCAACGTCCGTACTTAGCGTTTTCGGCCCTACCGGACGTTTTGATTCTCAAGATGAGAGATGACGCACCTCCGCTCGCGACTGGATGGGTGTTATAGCCGAAGTTTTGGGACAACTCACAGGGCACTGCCACTTAAGAAAGCACAAGCACCGGATAGGAGTACAGACAGAAAAACACTGTGCAGATACTGCCAGGAAGAGGAGGAGACCGCAGAACATATTTTATGTTTCTGTGGTTCTTGCAACTAGAACAGAAAAAACTGCAAGCAGATCCTACACTAAGGAGCCGCTGGCAAAGCTATGGAGGCTGATTAACAACCTGAAGCTGGCCAGTGAGTTATAAAAGACAGAGGAACACAATAGATCTATTCAGGTCGAGGTGCAGATTGCAGAAGGCCTTGTGGCCTCCTCTTTTATCCCCTGTTCCCCCTAATGGTTCTTGGAAAAAAGAAGGGAAAAAGAAAAAGTTTTTGGGTAAGAAAGAATCTAAAAGACATTGAAATACAATGAATAAGAATGACTCAATAGTGAGTAAGAGCGAAGAGAAAGAACGTGAAAGAGTGTATCCTGGGAGAGAAAACGAGAAAAGAGATAAACGAGCTAAAAGTAGGATTAGTTCGTTTTAAGAAAATACTAACAGAATGTATATAAACAGGAAATTTAACGCTCTTTTCATTTTTTTTAATTGGTTAAAAAATGAATAGATGAAAAGCTACGAGTAGATTTATGACGAAAACCGTAAGTAGTTGAAAAAACTATAAAACTCAATTAATTATAATTTTTATCTAAGGTCTTGGTTGAAATGAAAAAATATGAGTGTCACGAGCCGGATTCGGCTAGGCTAGCCTAAGTTTGTGTGTTCGAATCCCGCTCGTTACACTAACTTTTTCATCTCAACCCCAGGGGATAGGGATAGGAATAGGGATGAGAGAGGCGGCCACAAAGCCTACTGCACCTCGACCTAAATAGATCTATTGTGCTCCTCTGTTAATTATAACTCAGTGGCCAGGTTCAGGCTATTAACCAACCTCCACAGCTTTGCCAGCGGTTCCTTGGTGTAGGATCTTCCTTGTGGTTTTTCTTGTCCTAGTTGAGAGAACCTGCACTTACAGAGACCTTCGCAGAAACATAAAATGTGTTCTGCGGTATCTCAACCCAGACCTAAGATAAAAAGTACAATTCATTGAAATAATTAATACGGTCAATTATGGCTGCTAAACATGGATTAATATAAAAACTATAAAACTTTGAATATTTTGGAAAGGGTTGAAAATCAGACAATTGTCCATACGAACTTTTTTGTTGCATTTGTTGTCAAGTCGATGCAGAGATAATAGGATAATAATAATAGTATAACACAGATAAAGATAATATTATAATAACATATACAATTATATAATATATGTTAAATTAAATATTATACATATATAACATATATAAACAGGACACCACCCACAGAGTCGCATGCCAGGGAGTTCCATTTGAAATAGCAGAATCCTTTTTCATAGAAAATAGCCAAGAAACAACCAATTGAGAGATAGCAGCCTGGTGTAAACTATGAATCGAACGTACATGAGGTATCTATGGATGCAACTCAAGCTCAATTTACTCAGAAGACAGTGAACCAACAAGCGAAGAAGGAGTAACGTCGGTAGTCGACTACATGTGCTTCATCGTCGACGCCAGCTTACCGAGAAACCAGAAACGTCGTTCACAAGGTTCAGTCTACAGAAGATACTCTCAGAATGAAAGAAAATGTACAACAGGATTACTACTACTACCACCACTGGCTTCAGCTTAGGAAGGCGGCAGTGCAGCTGATGGATTATTGCTTCCTAGGAGCATGATACACGGAGGATGATTGCACTGTTGTAGGGCCACTCCTTTCAACAGGGGGTGATTTTGTGAGGATCGTCGGCTAAGATAAAACAAACAGTTGTTGACGAGAGGGGGACGATCCACACAAAGCGGAGTGGACATTTGAGTCCTGTCCGGTACCGGAGTAACAAGTTACAGTATTTTAATATTAAACATATCATTAGACGAGATCTCGTTTCTTTTCTATTATTTGCAAGGTATGTTCATTTATGGTTTTTTAAAGTAAGGGCGCCATTATTTTGTTCAGATAAAAAGATTATTATTTTAATTTGTTAAAGGTTTCTAGTTGTATTATAAAATTATATATGTTATTATAATATTATCTTTATCTGTGTTATACTATTATTATCCTATTATCTCTGCATCGGCCTGACATTGTGGTGAAGAAGCACTTTGTCGTTCGAATAGCGACTCACCCTGTTTATAATTTGCCCTTTCTTCGACAATTAATTCTTTGTAGTTCGTCAGCACCGTCACCAGTAAAAGCTATTTTTTATTAAATTCTTTTTGAAAAAATTCTAACCGTTCCATTTTAAAGTCAGGCACGAATTCGTGATAATCGGCCAAAATGAATTTCGGATTCCATATTAGAACGCACGTGAAGAATAATAATCGTATCGTTGACGTGAGGGGTTTGCGTGTCAGGCCGTGCGTTTCAGACGTGGTTTCGTGCTTGTACAGAAGAAAAGGGGGCGTTGAGCCCGCCGATACGGAACAAGCACCTTTTCGGCCCTGCATGCCGTGCTTGTGCTCCTCCCCAGAGGGGGGACTTGCGTGCGTGCGATGCGTGACCGGGGTCGATCCGCGATCGCCAGTGCAGGTCTGTTCACTTTGTTGGGTACATCTCTGTGGAAAAAATCTGCCGTGATGAGTGCGAGCGCGTTGATAGCAGCTGTGCACAGGAGGAGGCCACTCTGGGACACAGCCGACGCCAACCACCACAACCGACTTCTCATCAACGCACTTTGGTACGACGTGGGAGCGGAATTGGGCATGAACAGTGAGTCTTTGAATAAATTATGTTATCGCACGTCTCATGGAAAAGGCAAATCGCTGTACAATAAAAAGAATCGTTTCGATCGGCCCACGGGAACGCCTTTTATTGGGAATCTTTGCAACTCCTGCCATCTTTTCAAAATGGCACCCATTAAGAAAACAAAAACGCCAAATCTTTGACAATTCTTACAAAACACGCAAAATAAACGGCATGTTTTAGACATTTTCAACAAAACAAAATGCAGAAAATTTATTATATATCAAAAATAAATAAAAAATATTATTCCTAAATAAGCTTTCAGCATATTTGTGTTTTTTTCCACTTCATGACTCCAACAAATTATTGCTGAGCATATTTTGAAATATCCTTAAAACTAATTACTCAGGGTTTTTTTCCATAAAGAATAAACACATGAACAATTAAATCCAAATGTTTAACATTTAAAAAAACATTAACAATGCCATAAAACTGCATGATTAATTCAGGATGAAAATAATCAGTTACTGTTGCTAGTAATGATTAAATTCAGTAATTTCGTGGTCCGCTTGACCAATTAATATCTTACAATTAATTAAGGTTTTTAGTTGATAAAAAGTCAATGGCACGAGCGGGATTCGAACCCACGATCTTCGACTAGATATGCCGCTGCTCAACCACTTGAGCTAGGTCACGATAGCTCAAGTGGTAGAGCAGCGGCGTATCTAGCCGAAGATCGTGGGTTCGAATCCCGCTCGTGCTATTGACTTTTTATCTCAACTAAAAACCTTAATTAATTGTAATGATTAAAGAAAATCTACCGTGTTATCCAAGATGTTCAAGATCACATCGCTGATTTAGTAGGTGCGTTGTTAGACATTTATGCATTTTGTCGGTTACTATTTTCGTTTAATCTCATTATTCAACAATGAAATATATCCTAGAATTTTACTTACAATTGTTATTATTTCGTTTTTAGGTGATGATAAAGTATCAAAATAAGTGGTTACAGGTATAAATTAGTGTTGTCGACAAGCTTTAAACAAATATAATGTTGAAAAAAGCAAGTGATGTGTGTGAGTACAAGTTCCCTGTCATCCTAGAGAGGCTGTTTATTTAATTCGCAAAATATTATTCTTAAATAAGCGTTCAGCATATTTTTAAATCTCCTTAAAACTGATTATTCAGTTTTTCCTTTTTATGTAAAAAATAATTACATGAACAATTAAATCCAAAGCTTAACTTTTTATCTATTAAAGAAGCAATAAAACTGCATGATTCATAATTCTGGATGAAAGCAATCAGTTATTTTTTATAGTAAGGCATCCATATGATTAAAGAAATTCTACTATATTATCGTCCTTGATCAGCCCTGTCTGTTGTTTAGTAAGTGCATTTTTATACATTTATGCATTTTGCCAGTTATTATCTTTGTTTAATTATTACCTTCACTTTTTTTATTTTGTTTTTATGTTATGGAGGATCATAATAAGTGGTTGCAGGTATATATTAAGTGGTCGCCAAGATTTCAACTTATACGTCATCCTCAGAAACTGTTTATGTTATTGACAACCCTATACAAAATCAAATAAATAAACATAATTCTGAAAAAAAAAACAGTACATTTGCATAAAAATGATATGATACATTATTAGAGTTAAAATACATACATACATCTGCACCCTCAGGGCAAAACTGGGTAAGTCCAAAAACTAATTGGGACGGCAATTTTAGTTTTGACCTTTAATATAAATTCAATTTTTGTGGTAACTTTCTTGATTGCGCTTTCATCATTTTCAATGTAGTTCTGTAAGTAAATAAGTTTTAAATTTATTTAATTATTCTGGACTGATCTTAATTATATATTTTCTTACTTATCACATTATGAACTAGTACTTATCTAGTTTTCTGCACAAACTTGGGAGAACTTAGATTATCATACTACCACTTATGCAGTTATCGCTTTATTAGTTATGGCAATTGAGCAGTTGTCTTACTGTTCTGAGAATAAATCTTTTATTAAATCTAATTTTTTGAAAATATGCTCGTTTCATATAAATTGAAACAATTGGGCACAAAGCAAAGAAGTAATTATGGATAAGTCTGTATTTTAATTTTTTCTTACATTAATTTAATTTGTTAGAATTAATAAAGTTGATCTTTAATAATTTTTTAGTGATGTTGGCAAAATCTAAGTGGAGAGGACTGAGAGATTATTATAGGCAGCAGTTAAAGAGGAATTCAGAGCAGCCTGAAGCACCTTTGTCAAATTGGAAACACTTTAATGAGATGGCTTTTGTCGGTGGGACACCAAATCCGAGATCTTCCCAAATAAAAGAAGAATTCGGCACATCGCCCACTGACCTGGACATACACAATGCTGTGGACCAGGAATGGCAGGAAGATGCTTTCACACAAAATTGGCAATCCGAGTCTGTCTCGTCTTACAAACGAGACTCTGGGGTAGGTGAAACCTGCATTTTATCCTGTACTATTTTAATTATAACGTATTTGTAGAGTTCAGATGAAGATGATGACCTGCATTTCTTCAAATCGATTATACCCGACTTAAAGGATCTCGAAAGGCAGAAGAAAGTTATACTAAGAATGAAAATTCTCAAGTTGATTCATGAAGAATTATATGCAGGAGGGAAGCAGAATGAAGCAAGCATCTCAGAAAATGGCATACCACCTTCACCCCCAAAAAGCTGAATTTTTCATTAATATTTTAATTTTAATTTGTGTGTGTATATATATTTATTTTTATAAAGAAATTTCAAATAAATTTAAGTAGTGTATTTTGAGGGGGCTGGAACCCAGGCATGCTTTATTAATTTAAACACTTTCTTCCCACCCTTTATTAAATTATACTGGAACTGTTGCTTCAGAGTGAAGAGTTACATACTCAGATATTACACCAATACAAACTAGCCCCTTCAAGGGAGCATTCTTGGTACATACCATTTTCAATGCTCATTTACCAACACATCCCAACACTATTATTACCATCAGATGATACCTCAATTAAGCCTTCTAACCAGAATCCGGTACAAGAACCTCCAAATCCAGGAACATCATGAGTTTCTGTTCCATTCTGTTCCTCCCTAACTTTATTATAATTATTATTTATTTAATGGCCTTATGAATTCACATATTAGCCAGCATATATTGTAGATTGTTTCATCTTATATGTAGTTGGAGGGAAGGGTAGTGTGAAAAAAGGGTCAGGGGCTATGGTGGGAATCAAACCGATGACCACAGGGTCTATGAGCTGAGAGTCTTATCACGCTGACCACATGTCACCTGCAGTCACCCAAATTTTAATTTCTGATTTCCGTTTAATCAGGTTTTTATTCACATTTGTAGCATCAAAGGGCCAGATCTGGAAGTTGGGACATCCTGGCTTATTATTACTGAAAAATGGCAAGAAGGGAGGAAAGACTCAAAAGGTGGGGTTGAGATGGGAAGTTGGTGTCCGAGTGGATCGGGGTCACAATAGCTCAAGTGGTAGAGCAGCGGCGTATCTAGCCGAAGATCGTGGGTTCGAATCCCGCTTGTGTCATTGACTTTTTTATCTCAACTAAAAACCTTAATTAATTGTAACTTATTATTATTTCCAGGTAATGAGAAAAGATCCTGCAGTTTTTCATTGTTATTGTTTTAATATCAGTAATCCAGATTTCCATTTACATAGGACTTTACATCGTGTAATACAAACAGGATAATAGTAAGTTCCTAAAGAAAAAGAATTTTAAACGGTTCATTGTAAATTTAAAAAATATTTTCTTTCTCATGGCTTCAAAACCCACAAATCAAGCCTGATTATTGTATAAATTTAAACTGGATACAACAGATTTGCACCTTCATACTACAGAGTAACGAGGAGCTTATGCTCAATTATTTGCAGGCACACCCTCACACTAAATCAGTGACATTTAGTTGACACTAAATTTAATAAGGTGTCACTCGAAGGTTTATCTATAACCTATATTTTGATGTTTCTTTATTAGTAGCACCGAGTGTCGCACAAGGTGTATGTCAGACCATGTTTTCATGGTACACTCATGTAAGGCCATGTATTTTTTTTTTAAATCATTAAGTCATTAGAATACACAGAATGGAAAAAAGTTGTAAAGTAAGAAAATAATTCATTGAAGACACAGACCTCATAGATAAATATAATTTAACCGATGAGTTGGATTGAAAATCAAAGGAAAAAACAGTACAATGCATATAACTAATTCAACATAATTAAAGATTAAAAGACTATACTATATACCAATGAAAAAAACAATAAACTCCTTATAAATAAAAGAACCTAAAGATTTAATTAAACACTCTGTCTATATAATTATAACGACTAAGAATTAAACTATATATGAAAATAATATAATAAAACATAACTACGTACATAGTACATTTTTAGCTTGTTTTAAACTAAATAAAATTATTATGCTTTAAGTAATTGACATGAGGAAACAGAAGTATTAAATAAATCAACAGCATTGCATATGTTGTTACATTCTATCATCAAGTGATGTATCTGGGAGTGTAGGGAAAAATTTCTTCCTTTCTATTCAATAAAAAATATTTTCTGATTTCTGGGTGGCAAGGAGGCACATAAAATAGATGTTTACCATGGATTTCCGAACTTTTTTTTGTATATGATCAAATTTATATAACTTTTTTCCAATATTTAGAGCATAGAAAAAAAGAAAACATTTATCAGACAAGCAAATTTATGAGTAATAATTATTATTCATTTGATTTGTAAATGGTTGAATTCACTTTGAATATGAAAACGTTAGTATGGTGGCCAAAAACACTGCATCAGGAGACAGAAACTTCATGGTATACAGACTAGCATGTCTCGCCTTCCAGCTTATACTTGGTCACATCCTTGTCGTTGATAGCCCCTTTCAGGACAATCGTTATATTGATAGCCTCTTTCAGCTGATCCCACTCTGCAGGGTCTTTCTCGTCTTCTGGCTTATACTTGCTCACATCCTTTGTGTCATACACGTCAGACATACACAATACTGTGGACCCAGAATGGCAGCAAGTTGTGAGACTGGTGTAAGTGTAATATGCATTTCATTCTGTACTACATATTTTAACATAACATTTCTAGAGCCCTGATTAAGATATACCTGTATTTCTTCATATTGATTATACCCAACTTTAAGGATCTGAAAAGCAAAAAAAGTCCTACTAAGAATGAAAATTCTCAAATTGATGCAAGAAGAATTGTCCTAGGGAACGTTCATAAAAGTTAACAGCTGAGAAGAATAGTGTTATTCTTTCTGTCAAATCAACAATTATAATGGTAATTCCTTGTATATCTACTTTGGACACAGCAGTGTCATAAACATAAATTTATTGACCTGTTATAATAAATAAAAGAGAAGGAAAAGGGGAAAAAATTAAAAACAGTTTATTTTAAATTAATCGCAGTCAATAATGATTATTTTGAGATCATGAGATGTGGTCTGGTGTGATGTAGGTTTAGAAAAACACTTTCTTTATCTTGCCAACATTTTGATCTTTATTGAGATCGTCTTCTGGTCTCAAAGTGTGTGTTTTCTGTGCATATGTGTCATGGTTGTGTGTCGTGTTGAGAGTCTCCTTAATGTCACACAGTCAATAATGATTAATAAATACAATGTAATGATAAAATTTCAAGTTTCAACCCCACTGTTCTAATTTACAAGACATGATTTGCTCCTTTGTCGCAGGTATTAAAGATGGTGGTAAACGATAGTTGTAAATTCGGCTAGGCTCGGTTTGTAAAATTTTGGCTGTGGAGGAAGACAGACTTTCACTTGAACTCCTTTTTTCCAACCAGTCTTGTAAAGTTAGAAGTTTTGGAACTTTCGCCTTTTCCAATTCCTCTTGGTGTACTAAAATATAAATATATACGCTATTATTGCTATATCACATTTAAAATGTGATGCTGAAAGGAAGGAATATCTTACTTATTGACTCAAAGTTTCGCAACTCAGCCTCGGAATAATGCGAGTAGTTGCAATTATCACCGAAAGAACATTCCTGGTAGTTTTTAAACCGTTTACAAGGAATCTTGGCTCTTTCTTCCCTCACCAGTGTTTTTAAATCTGAAATACAAACATTAAGAAAAGCCTTCAATAAACAGACATTCTGCTTGGAATATTAATTCATTAATTGGTCTGATTCTAACAAAAATAACCAAAACAATTGTATAAAAAATATTTGTAAAAAGAATGAACAAAATCACAAAACAGCAGATAGCATTGAACATTTAAACCAAGCCACAGTTGCAACACATCAGTTTATAAGTCTGTAAAATGTGAAGTGGTTAAGGAATTAAAATAACAAAACGTACCAACTCACCACTAAAAACGTAAAATGCCGAAACACTGCTGACAGAACAAAACCAAAACTACAAATACTTTTAGGATTAAAATCTATTTTGACTGCCAAAACTTAAATAACACTATGCAAGAAATTACTGCGACATTTAGTAGAACTGCGTAATTCCACCAAGTACAGTGGGAGTACTGGATCAAAGATGTTTCCCCACTGGTGGATTGTTAAATGTGAAGAAAAATGGTCCCTGTTACACCAGGTCATATTATTGCCACCAAATGACCCTGACCCTGGCTTACCAGACAGTGTTCAATAAATAGAATTGTTGATTAGCGGTATTAAAGCAATGAAATGAAAAACAGTATAACTTTTTTGGTTACCTAGTACTATTATAGGTTAACTTGCAGTAATGGTGATGGAGGACCGTGCAGTATTAGACAACACATACAGTAGTTCAGTAGCTTCAAAGCTACATTGTTCAAAGCATACACCGTTTCGTTGAGAAAATATGTTAAGAAGTTTTACAAATAGTGAATTAGACACTTGCTTTAGAGGAAGATGTTAATTGGCAAAGAAATCATCGCAGAAGGAGACGAATGTGGGTGGCGGATGGAAAAAAAGATGTGTTGAAGGGGAATTTTACTTGCTCCTTCCACATCTTAAGTGTGATAAGACCAAGTTTAATATAAAATTATAATTTTTTAAATATAGAATTGTACTAAAATTATAAAAAGGCAATAGAGAATCAATAGATAAAAGAAATATTTAAACATAAACTCTTCACTGGAGCTCACCCGATCCATGTACGTCAAAAACTAAACTAATTGGGCTTGGTGCGGTGTGTGGACGGAGAGGTGAGGACTAGCCAACTCACTTCCACTGTCCTAATCGCTCTCCGTGTGACGCCTTAGAGACGGCCGTCATGCGGTGCGGTCGTGTGGAGTCCAGCCTTAAGTGTGTGACCATGTAAAAAAAACCTACTGTGTAGGTTAACTGTAACTACATTAGTAACATGTACAAATATGTATATGCTGCAAATAAATAAATTTAAAGAAGCTTGTAGTTTTGATTTTTTGTGTTTAGCTTTATTATTACTCAAAAAGATGAAAAACAAACATTACAAACTAAATTCACTGACAGGCAAAAAATTCAACCCAACTTTTTTTTTTTTCATTGTCCCGGTAAAACAAAATTCTAAGGTCAAGCAAAGGACATATTCCACTTCCTAAGGAATCCATCAGGTATGCGACTACTGCCATCAGAGTTCCATACGAAGCACTGAGAGACGCCGTTAGACATTTTCAAGAAACTGGACCTACCATAAAAGGCCCAGTTCTGGACGCGCTAGGGTAACAGAACCACAGGATGATTTTTTTTTTACTGAGAATTTTGTGAAACAATTGGTTTGCTGTACTTTTTACAGATGGGTGTAGATTTGCTCTACAGTCTCTGGATGGACACGAAAGAGTGAGGAGAAGGCGAAATGAAAGGTATGAAACCCGTAATTTTTCCCCAAGCCAACCTTTTCGACATAGCTCAGTGATGGTGTGGGTGGGAATTTCAGTGGAGAGTCGCATAGAGTTGGTTGTTGTTTGTAGAGGGTCTTTGACGGTCACTCGCTATGTGCATGAAAGTTTGGGAACATCATGCGTTGCCTATCCTTGATGAAATCAGTGACAATCCTATTCCAATGCACGATAATGTCCGTCCGCATACTGCACGCATAGTACAAACGTACCACAGCATAACATCAGGATCTTAGCCCAGCCAGCTCGTTCTCCAGACTTGAACTCCATCAAATATTTATGTGAACCTGAAAAGACGAATAAGAGCACGTCCATCACTTCCTGATGCACTCCACGATCTTGAAAAGACTTCGTGAAAAATGGGCTAAGCTGACAAGAGACATTTCCAGACTGGTAGAAAGTATGCCGAGGCGTCTTCGATAAGAAATTAAGGCAAGAGGAGGAAATACGTGATAGTGAAATGTTAATTAAACATCTAAAACAAAATTAAAATAAATTTTTATGTCCGCCCTTTTTTATTTTTTCATTTTTCTTAGCAATTTAATTTTTTTTTTTACTTTTTTTGATAAAAACTCAATTATTAAACGTTAAAAAACGTGAAACTTTGATTAATATATACAAATCAAGTTATATTACAAGTGGGCGGGATTTTTTGCCTGTCAGTGTACAAAACCGTTGTTTCTTATTAATATGTAATACCTCTGAATGCATTATAGTGAAGTTTCCTCAATATCTCATGGTTGACGGATTTTATATGTTTTTTTCTGGATTCCACATCATCTATGAAAGATCTTTCACAGTAGTCACAATAGTACCTTTTCCCCATATTGTACAGGTTAAAACTAAAGAGTATGTAAGGACTAACACAAATACAGTTTTCCCAAAAATAACCTAACAACCTAAAACTTCCTAACCACCTAAAACCTCCTAACCATCCCCAAAAGAAGAAACCTTGTCTTGTTACCAAGTGAAGAAGGTAAAAACAGAAAATCGATTTCTTTTAATGGTCTGGAAGGACTCGAGATTGAAAATCGTCGTACGATAGGCTAAAAAAATGAACGGAGGGGACGGAAAAAATAACAATTTAACACAATCAACAGTTGAAGTCTTGAAGAGTCAATGTCAAACGTGGCGAAGGCATCGTTCGAGAAGGCGGACCTCGCGGTCACCGGCGAACGGCCGGTAGCCCGTAAGTTGATCGTTGACAACGACTGCGGGGTGGACGACGCGTGGGGGATCTCGCTCATCCTCAAATCGACTGTAGGACATCAACTCCTCGCCCTCACCTGCGTCAAAGGAAACACGGATGTGGAAAATGTCTGCAACAACAACCTCTACCTCCTCACCGTCCTTGGCAAAAAAGAAGTATTCAACTCCCCTTAAATTTTATTCTAATTTGTCCAAATTATGTACACTGAGAGGAAAAAAAGTGGCCACCCTCTTTTTTTAATTGTTTTATTTCTTTATTATTATTATTTCATATTATTTTTTGTTGGTTACTGGATATTTTTAAAGGAAAATGTGATAGCTGTATAGGGTGTCCTTTTTAGATGGCCTGGCAGAATTTCTCTTGTAACAATGATGCTATTTAAAAAAAAATACGTTTTTAATCTTTTTTAGTAGTTTTAATTTTTTTCGTTGTTTTGGAGAAAAAATATACAAGATACCTCTCAGGCCCAGTTCAACTTCAAAATTTCAAATACGACCCTGTACATAATGACACATCATTTTAAAGGATTTTTTTACACTGAAAACAATGGTGCAAACGGGTTTTAAATTGGTATGGCAAAAAGTTTGAAAAAATATATTTACTTTGTTTCATTATTAATTCCAAAAATTAATTGTCTTTCTTGTTCACTGATTATTCGGAAATTGTGGTCCAGACTGCATCTCATGATTTCCGAATAATCATCGACTAACAGTCACTAATCACCACACATTTATTGTTTACATTCTGTCATTGTTTGGAGATCCTACTCTGTCATGTATGTCCCTTGTGTCTTCTGGCTTATAATTTGTCACAGTCAGAACCTCTTTGTCAATAGCCATTTTCAGGTGATCCTGCTCTGCGGGGTCTCTTGTCTTCTGACTTCTAGTTGGCCACAGCCTTGTCGAAAGCCTCTTTATATATATATATTATGCAGGGTGGGCGACTAAGACCCGAGGGGTTAAATGCCTGGGTAGACTCATACCCCGTCCCTAAAAGGTCCAGGACTTGGTCGGCTCACGTGTCCTGCATAAACCTCTTGACTTGTTCACAAACCCCAAGATTTTGGACCAATTTAATCTCGGGGAGTGATTTGATGATGTCCTCTCCTTCAAAGATTTCAACTCTAGACCTAGCATACCTATCACACTCTGCGAGGTAGTGCCTTGCCGTTTCTCCTTTTATTTCGCAAAAAAAGCAAAAGGGATCTGGTAGGATACCCATTATGAAGAGGTGTCTTCTCAGTGGGCAGTGGCCCATCAGAATACCTATCAGCCTCCTAATTCCCTTCCTTGAGATAGAGAATAGCCATTTCGATTCAGCTGGTTTGATCGCCTTAACAAACTCTTTCGTTTGCCTGTGTCCGGGGGATAAATTCCACTCCCTAAGGAATTGTTTCATGCCCCAGTTATTGATACTCTCTTTCGCTATGCTCATAGAGTGGGGTAATACCAGTTGTCGTCCAACAAATGCAGTATTAGAACCTTCTTTGGCTAGTCATCCGCCTTTTCATTGCCATGGTGTCCTTTATGTGCTAGTATCCAAATAAGGGTTACCTTGTTCTCAAACCTGAGATCCTATTGATAAGATCTATAGTTTCCTCCACCATTCGTGAGGTTGACAAATCTTTTTGTAATGCCCTAAGACTAGCCTGACTGTCAGAAAAGATTTTGATATCTTTTCCCATAATTTTATTTTCCATCAGTGTTCTACAACACATATTGATGGCCCAGATTTCTGCCTGAAAAACGGAGGTGTTATTTCCAAGAGGGGAGGAGATGTCGGAAGCCTCTTTAATGAGATCCTGTTCTGTGGGGTCTGTCTTGTCTTCTGGCTTATACTTGGTCCCATCTTCATCATCAATAACCTCTTTTAGGAGATCCTGCTCTGCGGGGTCTCTCTCATCTTCCACCTTTCACTTGGTCATATCCTTGTTGTCGATAGCCCCTTTAAGGAGATACTACTGTGCAGTGTCTGTCTCGTCTTCTGGCTTATTCTTTGTCACAGACTCATCCTCTTCATCAATAGCCTCTTTCGGGTGATCCTGCTCTGTGGGGTCTTTCTTACTTTGATAAATTTTTCCAGATTTCAGACCAATACAAGCTGGCTTCAACAAAAGACCATTTATACTGCTGTCTTTTTCTCTATACTTTCCCATCCCGAGAACCCACTACATCGCTTTAAACGTCAATATTTTTCGCCCTTTAATCCCTCCTATTGAGCATTGGCTGGTTTCTCTTAAACTGTGTCCTCTGGAGGAGTGCTGGTTAAAGTCTCAGTGATGTGAACAGTACTTATTACTATAATTCATTAAATAAATAGTAAAACAAAACCATGTAATTAATTCAAATGCTTAATTTTGTAAATGATCTTTGACAAAACCAAATAAAAAATAAATTATTTACAGATACCAGTGTATAAGGGGGCAAATAGATCTCTGTTGCATATGACCTCTGAAGAATTATCAGACGACCTTAAATATTTTCATGGAAGGAATGGATTTGGAGATGTTCAACTTCCCTGTCTGGCTGACAAGCCACAAGTACAAAAGGAAAATGCTGTTGTAGCGCTCAATAGATTAACATCAGAAAATAAAGGTTCAAACAAAAAAAGACAATTGTATATATTTATTTCATAATATTCAGTATAAGTTATAATAGTCGTATTGATTGTATTCAGGAGAAATCACGCTCGTGTGTCTTGCCCCTTTGACAAATATTGCTTTGGCTATCAGAACTTACCCTGATTTTGTGGATAATGTAAAAGATGTTTTTATTATGGGCGGTAATTACCAAGGTAAAGATTAATTTCAATTTGTAATATTTTATGACAAATAAAATGATTGAATCTAAATTTATAAACTGGTTGTAGGTGTGGGTAATACAACTTCATGTGCTGAATTCAACTTCCATGCTGATCCTGAGGCAGCTAATATAGTGCTGAGGGAAATGCAGAACAAAATTTATCTTCTTCCATGGGAAACTTGCATGGGTGCAAAAATCCCTTTTGTTCGTATTACTATTCGATTATTATAATCAAATGGATTTCTTTTATGTATGGAATTATTGAATCACAGGAATGGAGGGAGAGATTGCTTACAGACTGTGGACCTGTCTTCCAGTTTTTAAACAAAATTGAACTGCCCATACTTGAAAGGCTGAAAAACCTTGGATACAAAACTTACATATCAGCCGACCAGCTCCTGTGTGCAATTTTAATAAATCCCAATATTGTACAATATGCTTTTAAAGCATATGCCCTCGTCGAGCTTGCCGGCGTTTTTACGAGGGGCCAGGTCATCTTGGACCACATGCAATCCAAACCAAAACAATCCGAGTTCCTAACTGTTATATCAGAAGTCGATTCTATCGAGTATTTTAATATAATTAATTCTATGAAAAATGTATGATTGGTTTATAAAATGAATATTTTTATAATGAAGTAAAATTTGTGTTTTGTTCTTAGTATTTTTTACCTTCCTTACATTGGGAATTTCTTGAATCATTGAAAGAATGTATTTTCAACATATGTTTATTGCACCAACAAAACAGAATTCGTCATCAATTTTCTTATCAGTTTCAACTAAATTACACACAGGATTCACATGCATGGACAATTATTGCATAAATAGTCTAACCACAATGAATTACAATGATCATGATTTTGCAAATGAACCATGGAGGATATTGGAAGACTTTAAATTGCTGTACAACGCACTCCTTAAGAGAAAAGAGCAACCGGGGAATAAAACAGTGAGTAATGAGTTATTTTTTGCGGAACGATCACAAAAGCCTCAAATCCTGTTCAATACAGTCTGCAATCAGCGTCTTGAAAAGGTGGGTAAGCGACTTGGGAGATCAAAACGAAGCATTGCTCGAGGCTGTCAATTTGCTAGAGAAACAAGGCTTCCACCGCATCGATCTATTGAGCTATTTGTTGAAAAAACGCGATACCATTAAAGAAAAGCAGGTAGAATTATTAACAAAATTGAAAAGACAATACTTAAGTATTTCAATTTCAGGCAAGCAAGTTTAAAAAGATTAAAGAGTAAGTAATCGTAAAGTAATTTCCTAAAGAAAGATTTTGTTTGTTGATTTAATCAATATTTAATAGCGCAAATAAGAATATCGAATACTTCAGACAGTTGAATTGTGAACAAGAGGAAGTTATCCAATATTTACAAGGGAAACAAACAGAACTGGAGGAGGAACTGAAAACATGCTTGGTAAACTGGTAGACAAATTGTTTTAGCACAAAATTCTCCCAAGGCGTTATTTACATACTAAAAATGATTATTTAACGAAGGAAAAGGTGAAATTATTGTTATTACAAATTAAGAGATCATGGTGGCCGACAGGTTTGTAAGTTTAACTTGGATTTTTCACACTAGTGGTTCTGGGTCCAAATCCCAGTATAGCTTTGAATTTTCATTTGTGACTAACTGTAAAAAAGTATTGCTAAGTGGTTCTGATTTGAACACGGCATGTATGCTTACATATATGTACTTTATAAGAAATACTTTTTATTTACATCAAATTAAAAATTCCATTATAAAATGTTTTTTAAATAAGATAATAATGTATTTGAAACCGCAATCTCTGCATGTTATTTTCGGTTTTTATGATTGGTTTTTTTTTCCAAACATTTAGGTGTACTATAGACATGTGACCATCACAAAATACCCTTCCATGATCAATACTATGAACTGTTAATTGCTGCAGACAATTCCACAGGCGAGACCTGCAAGTAATGATCAGTGCTGATACAATTGTGTAGATATGGTCAAAAAGGAATCAAAAGAGTGATAGTTTTTACATAGCTTGATAGCCCAAGTATAACCTAAAGAAATGAAATGAAAAAGTATGAGTAGTCACGGGGTAATATCGTAACCCTGATGGCTATCTGATTGTACGAATGGATTTATTTGCATGAGTGGTTAAGTGAGTATGGCCACAGTCAAGTACCGACAGACCTTCGAACCAATTAGGTTAACTTAGAATAGTGAATTTGTGATTTTACATTCTGTTTAAATGTATTTATTGGCATGAATGAAGGGAAGGTATCAAGATGAAAAATGCCTATCAACTGAAAGCTTAGATGGTACATCAGTGTAGTGGGTGGGGTTTCATTAGTACATCGAGAACTTGAGTCCTAGGGCATTGGTGGCTGCAACAGTATAGGTGGATCTCTGTAAGGTAAAGGCCCCAGGTTCGAATCCAGCATTACATATATACAAATGGCTTTTTTCAAAAGCACCAGCACTCCAATGATATGACCTCTACTCTTCGAACCCTCGTAAAAAACAAAAAAAAAATCATACCAAACGTGGATTAGGTATCTGTTTTCATAGTATGAATGATAAAAATAAATAAAAAATGCAAAATAGGCAAAACTTGAAAAGTCAGCAATGACCCCCAGCTAGCCAATCAGGGAAAAATAGGTCATACAGGAGAGCTTGAAATCTAACTATCCATTGGATATCACGGTTGAACCATCAAACCACTTTACAACACTTTTTATATATTATTGACAATTGAAATTCCATAGGCTGTACAGAGATTCGAACCCAAAACCACAGTATAGCAAATTCACGTCAGCTGCCCCAACTGCTTAGCCACCGCTGTCTCACAATAAGATTATTTTATTGCATTAGTGCAACATAAATTTTTATGATTTCACACGATTTTACTAGGGATCATCTAAATTTTTTTCAATAGTTCTCTATTTTAATCATTACTTTTTTTAAATGTATAGTTTGTTAATTAATAATCATTTTGTACTGTCTATCCTTGCTGGTTTGATCTGTCAAACGCGTTTCAGCATATCTATGAGTGAACCAGAGGAGATAGGCAGACCGAAATGATTAGAAACCAACAAACTAAGATTTTAAGATTAAAAATAGCTTGAAAACACAGAATTTCCTTATCTGCTATAATCACATCACACCATAAAGCCAATTATCAATCCCTCCAGTGATTAATATTCTGGAAGCAGATGATAAGACCAATGATAAATTTTTTGTCTTTTATCAACAATTTATATATTATTATTCAATTTGAAATTAAATAAAAGTTTGCTCATATAGTTTTTTTTTTTTTTTTTAATTTTTATGTTGCTAGGAGTTAATAATCATTTTTCTTTCCCAAGGGTGGAGTTTCACCTCCTCATCAAAGGGAATTGTTATGGTAAATATTTTTTTACTTTAATAACATTGCGAAAAATGAACTAGTAAAAAATTCAGCCTTATATTCAGCAGCTATTGCTTTCAGCTTAACTGATCAATTGGAATGCTCCATGAAGGAAAATCAAGTCCTCGAGAAAGAGAATAATGCCATGAGAAAAGAATTGAAGAGCATTAAATCCCAAATTTCAGAATTGGTAATCTAAAACATGATACGTAAGGATATAATTGGTTGATATCACTGTAATAATGTTAAACACGATTTTTTTTTTTGCCAATTTTACCTAATTATATTAACCAGAATTTTTATAAAGTAAATTTAATATACCTTGTTTTAAACATACTTTTAATAAAATTGTCTCTATTTTCTTTTTTTTTTAGAAAAGAGAAACTGCAAAGTCGTTCAAACAGTAAGAAATTTTCACTATTGCAATCTTTAATTTATCCCATTTATTTTGAAATCTGTATTAACTTTATTTTTATTGTATAAAATTGTCAATAAAGGAATCCATACAAATTTTGTCTTTGTTTAGGAGTTCCAATACGAGTTATACATCTAAAAATGGCAACAGCTTAAGTTTAGTGGTAAGATTTTTCATGGCGGCCAATTTGTTTAATTTTATAATTTCAATAGAACACTAAATTGTCCCATTCAGGTGCCTGATGATCAGAACAGTAGCATGGATGTGTATGTTTTTCCTTTTTTATCATTTATAAATTAATTTTTTTATTTTATTATAATTTATTAATTTTTATAAAGAATGTATTAATTTTAGTTATTAAATATTAATTAACCATAATCTAATATTTCTTAAAGGTTTATTGTTTCATAAATAAATAGAAATTAAATCTAAGGTAGATAGCATTGAGACTGTTATTTTCAGAAACACAATGAAAAATGTTTTTCATCTTAAAATGCTAGAAGACCTCAAGAGTGAAATTATTGCTTTTAAACAAGAAATGAGATCAACTGATGAAGCAAAGGTAATATAAAAAGTATAATTGAATCAACACCTATAAAAATTTCCTATTATTAACGATTATTAGGAGAAAAAAGATATTACTTACCAAGAAACTCCTGCAGACAATAATCGGTATGTAATTGTTATAAATTTATTACCATTAAAAAACATGGACGTTGTAGTTAAAGTAGAAAAAAATTGTTATTTTTTATCTTTTATTAAATTTAGACTATTTTATTGTCTAATTTCTTGTAATTGCAGAAAACTGCCAAAATGCAAAAACAAATCAGTGAGAGGAAAGAAGGCTCATCTGTCATCTTGTAAAATAACTAGATCTAGGTCGCTAAATATTAACAAATCTTCTATTAAGGTAATTACAAATGTTTTAAACCTCTAGAAAGATATTCTTAAGTTAAAAATATTGTAAAATTAAAAAAAAATCCTCTTAATTGCAAGAAACCAATTCAAGATGTATATGTATCGAATTTGAATATTTTTTGCCTACAAGTAATGTAAAGTTTTTTGGAGATTTATTAAAGCACAGAAGTTTCAGTTTTAGACCAGAAAAAAATGTTTGAGTTTTGTTAAAAAGAAATGGGTCTTGAGTAATTGAATTTTTCTTACATGTGAGATAATCAATTTTATCCCAGGATTTTGTAATGGCTCTCCTTTAGGTCTGGTTTTCTTTTAATTTTCCATAAATCCATTTCCTGGTACATGAAAGTAGTGGTTGTGTCGAGTTAAAAAAAATCACTTCCAAATTGTCATGGCTTTTTGCATTATTTTGGTTCTCATTTTTAAGCTTTTGATAGAAGATCCTAGAATATTTTCAGTTTAAGGCATCATTCCCCTATTGATACTGTCTTAGTATATGTTTGATCTAGGAGAAGAAAATCATTCAAAAAAGAATAAAATGCACTCGTGGTGTCATGACCACTGATAAACTCTCAAAGCAGTAAGTGATTTCGCACTTTTATTTCTCCATCTGATGATTGCTTGTTTATTTTCATTTCAGTCTTGATTCCTTGGAACGCTCGTTACAGAACCATCACATGGAGATTTGCAAGACAAGAGCGGATATCAAAAAATTACAGGGCTTTGTGACAAAGGTGTCTTTATGAGATGGCATTGTGGATTATTTAAAATTATGTAACATCTTTTCTTCTTTTTTTTTTTTTTTTTTTTAGATAGATGACTTTATTCAAAATCAAGAACGAAGGTTTTTTTACAATCAAAAGTTAAAGCATGATAAGAAACTCTTCCAATGTGTGAATGTTGTTTGTTTTAGGGTAAAAGAGCTTCCAGAAATTACAAAAAAAATCTATTGCAAAACTGAAAAATTAGGCGAAAAATTAAACAAATCACTTTGCAAGAAGTTGCAACTTGAAACAGAGATATCATCCGCCCACAATGAAGTATTGATTCTTTTTATATTTATTCAAACAAACTGTATTTTTTGTTTCTTGGTTTACGGTTTAATATTTCAGATAAAGCAACTTGAGGAGGAAGGGAAACATACCGATGAGATTGCATGTTTGGTAAATAATTTGACCTCTCGCTACATCTACCCTTTTTATATAAATTTTGGAAAATTGTAGAGCTTGGAAGAAAACTACCCAATTTGTGAAGACATAGACAATGTGGATATAAATGAGTTAGCATTTCTTCTCTCTGAGAAAGACGAACTTATATCGCAATTGGCTAACTATGCTTCGAGGGAGCCTGATCTTTCTAAGGAAGTATGAATAAAATCCTTATTTTCATTTATGAATATTTAATAACAAAAAAAATTTTTTTTGTTAACTTTTAGATTGAAGACCAAAAGTGAGATTTTTCAAATCATTTAAGATATTTATTTTATTGAGCAGTGAAATAATGTATTTTCCTTTGGATTCTATTTTACGTTTGTAGAAAATTAATGGAACAAGCTGTCCTAGATGAACAGCACATACACAATCTTTTTGAGGCCAGCGATCAGCAGTTAAAAAATATGAAGAAGCTTTCGATGAAGACCAAAAACTTTTTTAGCCCCGATAATTGCTTATCCGAAGATTTGTGAAGTCCTATTCATACGTAATTCCATTTAGTTCAATTTTATAGGTTTAACCGGAAATAGGTTAATAGGGAAATTAATAATATCTGTTTTCATTCATTCCAGAGAGAATTTTTAGTACATTGTACAAACTGCAAAACAATTATATTGTTGTACTACAGACTTATTTTTTTATTATCTAAGTTAAAAATAAATCATAATAAATTGTCTTTTGTATTGGCATATATTTTTATGACTTACAAGGACTTCAGATAAAACGTAAACTGGACTGGCGAAAGGCTGAATGGTGCAACTTTCCTAAAAAGTGATGTCGATGTTTAGAAATGATCCTATTCCAGAAAAAAAACAAAAAAATTATTACATTTTTAAATTTTCACATTTCACTGAAATAGTTGTTGGACCAAATGAAATCATTTATCTCTTGGTCTTTTTTCAAATAATGGTTGTAGATATCAATCCCATTGTTAAATGTTTGGAGAAGTTCATGTCTATATTGAGAAAAATAAGTCCAAAATGTGGAAATTATTAAAAACAGATATTTTACAAGTAATAGTTATTATTTTGTTTATTAGAATAAATGATCCATTTATGTAAAAGCACAAAATAACAAAAATGTTAACCTTTTAACTTTAAATGCATCCTGCATTTTATAGTTTACAATGTATACCAAAGTCTCTCAAACACATGTAAATTTTTTTCCCAATTTAAGAACTACAAGGTTGTTTCAATAAAAACAAGTTTTTTTTAGTGCAGTAACTATTGTAAAATTCCCCCAAGAGAAAACATTAATCATTCTACATTTCTGGAATTACAAATTTGAACTAAATCAGAAAATAATGAAAACTTTGAATTTAGTGGTTGATAGGGCATTTGATCAAAACTCTAAATATTCTAGGCGTATTTAAGTTAATGTTACCTCTGTGTGGCCTTCTGTAAAAACAAAATAAAAATGTTAAAAGTTATAAAAAAAAAGGAAATATATAATTATTTACCATAGTCTCTAAATCTAGTAAGTTAACTATTTTTTTCTTAAGGAATTTAATCTCCCACAGCTTTTCTTTGAGCAAAGATCTCAGTTCATTTATTGTCAGTTTTTGGAAGGCAATGCAGCTGTAAAATAATTTAAAAATTAAAAAAAAAATATATATATATAAAAACATATCATTAGTGTGAAACTATCATTTCAATTGCAATAGGTTCAAGATAGTTTTTTATTTATGAAGCAGTGCAGTTAACAAAACAAAGGGATGTTAAATAAGCATTTTACTACATAATATATATAAAGAATCACTGTCCCTGTCAAATATGAAAAAATAAACTAAATAGTGAAATATGAAAAAAATAGATCAAACAGTAAGGATCCATCAGTAAGGATCAAATTAAATTATCAAATTAAATTAAAATATATTAAGAAGTTCAATAATTCAAAAAGTTTATATTTAAAGTACAATAGCTTTGCATATATCATGCAAACAATAAATTACCTTGAAATTAAAAAAATATATATATACTAAGAAGCTCTGGATGTCCACACCTCCATGAAACCAGAAGAGTAAGTGAATAAAGCTCTCCTATATTCATTTCTTTGTCACAATTCTGGTCATTGCTGACAACAATGGTTAAAAATAACACCGAGAGTTTTAGCTTTAGACAAAAATTAATAGGAAAGTCCATGGGGAGGGGGTCGGCAATCTGTAAAACTAATTAATAAGGATTTGCTAGGATTTAAAAGACTGCAGTTATTGCTTGACCATTGATTAAGAGAATGAAGATCATAGTGGAGCAGTAGTACATTGAATGTAAAAACGAGGATCATCAGCATATAGAAGAAATTGGGAGAAATGATGAACTAATGGAACATAGTTTAGGAAAATGGCAAAGAGTAAAGGTCCAAGAACAGACCCTTGGGGTACACCAGCTGAAATAGAGAGAAAAGAGAAGATAGAATGAGTTCCATCAGACATATAGGAGAAGAAAAGATTAGTAGCAGTAGAAGAAAAACCAAAGAGATGCATCAGTTTCCATATAAGCAAATTATGTTTTACAGGGCCGAATGCATTGGAAAAATCAGTAGAACAATAATAGTACACTTATTATTATCAATGCCTAGGCAGATATCTAAAATTTTGGGAAGGGCTGTCTCACAAATAAAATATTTTTAGAAGCCAAATTTACAGCTTTGTTATCACAATGTTTTGTTATGACTCACAATAACAGGTGTTCAGTAAAACATTGAAGAAAAAAATGGTTTGGCTTTAGAATGTATTAGCATCAGATAGCTTAGCAAAGTTTTGTATGTCATAGAAAGGTGTGGGAATTAATTTTACACAATCCGCAACAAGGTGACATTTGACATACATTTCCTAAATAGCAATCATACAATGTTTATGATTTAATTACTACCTAGTTGTAAATAATAAAATGATACGCAGTCTAAATTTGCTGGCTAATTGGCTAGATTACTTTTTTTTATAATTTGCAAACAAGAAGGGACATGAAAGTTGTTTTGTGGAAAAAAGCTTGTGTTGGCGATGTTCTTTTTTTCCACATATTGTTTTAATTAACGAACAACTTCCAATTGTTATAAGGAAGGGTTTTTGTTAAAAAATTGTTAATAAAAGCCCAGTTTTATCTCAACCAATACCTTACATAAAGATTAATTAATTGAAAGTTAATAAAAGTATTATTTAACCAAGTCCAATCAATTCTTTTATTTTTCTAAGTACGTAAAAAAAAAGACTGGTATTCGAAAAATGATCATATTTTTGTATTAATTTAAAATCAATTACTCAGTGTATTTAATAAAAACTTTACAATGTGGAAGATAGGTTGAATCATACAGAATATAGATAAAAAGGCAAACACTGCCAAAAAATTGTACTTGTCGAACAGGCACTGGGTCGTTTACCAAATCTGTGTAAACTTTAAGCGCTGTCTTCAGTGAGGAACATGGAGGAGTTCCAGAAGTTGGTGCATAGCTGAAATGTGTATCAGTAACAACAAAAATCCCCGAGTGTAGACAGACCCAATGCTAGTTCAACATGCATTTACACAGACCACCACCCACCATTAAGTTTAAAATTGTACTTACCTATTATTATTATTCTTCGGATTGCTAATAAGCTGCAAAAACGTTTTAAAAAATAAACAAACACTTCAAAAGTAACATGTTAACTGGTTTACCTGAATATTATCTTGCTTACAGCTGAATGACCGTATCTAATTAAAACATAGATAAGTTATTATAATTTGGTTAATATAAGTATTATTATATGTCACTTTCATACTGCATGTCTATAATGGTTTGCTATGTGTTCCAAGTAGGTGACCACAAGCTGGATGTATTGATAATATGAATGAAATTTGACAAATTTGTTTGTGGCTTGTTTCCAATTCTGAATAGCACCAAATACGCTGAAATAATTAATGGTAATAACTTTTGTTTTTCAAGTGGATGCTTATGTCCTTACCGACAATTCAGATCTTGCAAAAAGTTCATCTAAAAATGAAATAAAAAGTATGTGTTACAAGGGGCAAATGTGGTGTATAGTATGTAAAACTGTGAATGTTTACCGTTTTTTCAGAATAGACCAATTTGGTTTCCATTTTTTTCAACAGCTTCTTTTTCTGAAGTCCTTCTTTTGCTAGAGTCTTTTTAATCCTGCATAATTTTTCTTTTTTCTTTAATCTTCAGTAGTAAAACAAAACTGGTAAAATAAAAAATTAAATTATGAAAAAAAAATTACATACATCAAAAAAAGGAGTTTCATTTGTTCTCTGAGCTTTCGCACTTTCTTCTCTTTCTTCTTACAAATTTTTTCCTAAGAAGAAATTAACTACAAATAAAAATGCTAAAATTTAAGCTTTGGAATTCAATCACCTTTTTGTCAAGTTGCTTTTCTTTCTGAAACATAAAAACCCCATCTTAAAATAAATGAGTTGAAAATTTATAAACAGCTACCTTTAACCGATTTAGTTCCATTTTTGCTTCGCCAAGAGACTGTTCAAGTGATGTGTTTATCATGATATTTGAGTTTATTTTCTGTTTTGTGCCCTCTGCCAGTTTTATTATCCTGTTGAAAAGTTTACAAAGTATTACTGCCTATAAAACAAAATTTAAAAGGTATATGAATAAAGATAATCAAAAACACAAAGATTCTGAACATTTTACTTCCCAGTACAAGACAATAGATAAATGTTAATAGTTTTATAGATATATGTACTTTCATTAATAAATGTGTACATAATTAAGAATGAAATAATTAGATCATTAGAGCATAGATAGCAAATACAGTTTTATATTTAATTACTATAAAGTTTGTCCATTAAGTTTTCCAATTATTAATGAGCTGGGAATTAATTTCTTACCTATCCAAAGATGCTTTGTAATCCATACCATTTTTTATTGAATTTTCCTGTAATATACATTAATAAATAGAAAACGTGATTTACTCGTATGTACAACGTCCTTATTCTGTATGGTTTGTAAAAGTTTTGTTTATTACCTTACATTTATTTGCCTCATTTTCAGTTTCACATATTTGCCTTTTAAGGCACAATATCCTATTTTTTTGATCCATAGAAATCTCCTGGAGTTTTTGGAGTTCTTTGCATACTCTGAAATCAGTTATTCAGTTTAATGTGAACAACTGTATTGCTCTTTTGTTTAAATCCTACATACTTGTCATGATCTTCAGATAAGACCTATAAGCGAAACACACTAATTAATGAAATGAAACATTGAACATTTAATAGAGTACTTTGCCAGTTTTCTTGAACGTGTCTTTAATGAGTTTGTCAATTTTGCATATTGTCTCATTTTCAAGCATTTCTAGACATCTAAAGGCACTGACAAGCAGGTCGTTCTGTTCAGCCATGTCATTGACCCATCTTTTGAGAACATCCTCTTCATTCTTAGATTATGTAACAAAAAATAATGTATTAAGCGCATTATTATTGACAAAATTGAGAGTTGACACAGTTTGAAAATTGAATGCAAAGGCATTTCTGGTTGTGCAGTATGCAAACATTTCTTTTGTTTTCATTTTTGTACTGGCAATGTTGAAGTATCGAAGGGATGATAGCAAGTAAGAAAATGGAATGGAATGAAGGTGGAGAGATGCCAAAACAAGTCTGACAAAACAAGGTGATTCCAGCTTATGTAAAGCAGAAGACTGCAGGGAAATTTAAAAATGTTTGCCTTTTAGCAATAGTGTATTTTTTATTTGCCCTTTTAAACGTTGCAGACATCAGTGCTTTTTAAAAACCGGAGATAAAGAAATAGTAAGGAGAAGAATTTTAGCCACATTGCACACAACCCCAGAAGAATTGCTGAACACTTTTACACTACCACTTAGCCTCGGCGCACCTTGGATTCCAGGAAGTCCTTGTAAGTATTTTTGAATTCTTGAAGCACCCTCGATGGCGTTTTTGAAGTCTCGCAAAAAGTCATTTGGTTTTGTGTTCTGTTTAAATGAAATATACAGTTTGACTTTGTTTGGGGTAGTATGAAGAATGCAGGTGATTCTAAATTTCTTTCCTTATCCGTGTCAAAATCAAAAATCAGCTGGGTTTTTGTTATTTTTTTTCTCGCCAAAATCGTCCCTATTTCCACTTTCGAGTTAAATCCTGGTACTAGCGTGACGAGCCGGACGTCACGTGTACATCATGATTCATCTATTGGGTTATGACCCTGGTACTCTCAGCAACTCCGAACCTACCCAAAATGGGGTTTTAATTTTTTGGCAGTTCCTTTGCGAAAAATGTAATTTCGTGTCTGTTCTAGACCGATTGACAAAAGTACAAAGTTTTCGAGAAGTTTTGAGTTGAAAATAGTGGCAGAATGGCTCCTAAAAGAGAACAAGACGTGTCTTCAAGTGTTAACGCCGCTGTTTCTGATTCCGAAGGGAATCTATGGTAAATAAAACCCTGTTCAATACAGTGTACATTTTAATATTTCAACTTTATTAATATATAACGTTATTATTAAGATGGTACTAAAAAAACTCACAAATCTCGCCTTGTTTAACAACAAATACAATAGTTTTTGGTACTCATACCTACACCCAGTAAAAAGTCTCTGGACGCCTACTAGTTTGCCCAAAATTTGAGCTCCTGTAATAATTTCATAACACTTCTGTAAACAATTTTTTCATTATTATTATATCTTGCCATTTGAGTGAATGTAGGGTGAGGTAGCCGGAAGGGAGAACGACAATGGACACCTGAATACCGTGAGGCACCCAGCAACAGTGGTCGAAGCTACTTTTATTTAACTTTAATGTGTGGTGTTTACTGACTGTTAGTCAATGATAATTTGGAGATCGTGAAATGCAGTCTGGTGTGACATAGGTTTTAGAAAAACATTTTCTTTATCGTACTAATTTTTTGTCAGCTATAAAGGAGCGAACTCGGTAGTACACAGTATCTCAGCGGGTGTTCCTCAAGGAAGTGTTCTGGGACCCCTCCTTTACAATATGTATAGCAACATCGAAATAGCCCGATGACAAAGCTGGGCTGTCCCAAAGTATCACGCTCAGTGATGCAGAAACGAAGATGCAGAATTACTGCCAAAAAATTGATGATTGGGCATCCAAGTGGAAAGTTAAGTTGAATGCAACTGAGTCCAAACTCATTAACTTCACTTCAAGGCCCTCACACATAGTACTCGGTGGAACTAATGTACCTCAAGTGGACTCATATAAATACTTAGGGCTGCACTTGGATTCGCATCTCACCTGGAATAACCACATACCCTCATGTATAACGAGAATTTTCTTGCGTATTCACAGTATCAAACCAATCCTCTCTAGCAATTCTAACCAAATTCCACTTAAGTGACTCCTTTATCTAAGCCTAATAAAATCAATATGGCTTTATGGCTTGCCCATCTAGTGTTTTGCATCCGCCTCGTAAATAAAAAGGATACAAACACTACAGAACTATGTGTTACGGTTAATAACAAACGCGCCGTGGTTCATAAGAAATGTACAGCTCCACAATGAAATATCGTTGATATCGGTAGAAGACGAACTAAAGAAGAGATACCCGATGCTGGTTGCCAAAGCTGACTCCCACCTGAATCCGCCAATTGCACAAATTCCAGCGAATATGCCTCCACCCCACTAACAAAGATGGCTAAAAAGAAAGCATCATGCAGACTACAGATTGTAAATATGTGTTAATGTAAATAAGTGATAGTGCAAACGTGCGCCTGATGTTATATTATTATAGATAAAAACAAAAAAATAGGTTAATTTATTTATTAATTCTCAAATTATTATACTCCAGTGAATTATTATATGGACTGCCATAGGGCAGGACCCACCCTCAAATGCCATGTTAATCACACTTTTTTGAGTGTGCTGTATATCAGAATGTATTAGCAAAACATAATGTGTATGTACACAAGAGTTAAATAAAATAATTTTAAAAAAATATCGTACCAACGTTTCAATCTTTACTGAGATCATTTTCAGGGCCTGGGATAAATAAACATTGTTTAAATTTTACAAATACATGTAGGAGGTTAGAAGAAAAATGAATTGATACAATCCTAGAAAATTTTAGATTTATGTTACCTGAGGGATGTGCGTGCACCGCTGCCATTCAAATCCCTCTAAACGGGGGTTTGATTCAACCCAAAATTGGTCCCTCCACCTGACAACAAAGCTCCCTTAGCCGACGTATCCACGATTTCATTTTGTCGAATTCCATCCCAACATAGCACGATGATTTTACCAATAATTATGAGCTCATATATTTTCTTATAGGGGAGTATGTGAACGTTTCCCCTGCGCTACAAGCGATGTAAGGGATTTTTATCCATATCCTCCCAATGCACCTGCAAGAAAAGTTCGGAGTTCCCTAAGATCAAAACATAAACTAAAAATGGAACACTCTAGGCAGTTTTATCCGAGTATGAGATAATCTTTTACTTCTATTTAGGTTTTTTTGTGTGATCTTTTAGTATAATTTATTTATTCAGAGAGCTAGGACAATTATTTTTTGTTCTTTTGGTTCAGTACATAATTTCTCAATATCACACCTTTCTTAATTGGCTAACAAAACCAACATGGGTTGCTATTTGCAGAAAACAACTTTAAAGCTTTCATTCCTTTTAATACAAATTTTTCTTTAAAGGACATCAATTTTAGCTGAAGTTCAGACCAAAGGAAACAACAAACTTCCATCAAACAAGAACCTCCTCGTCTTAGGTTTGTATTTTAATGCTGGATGATATAAACTATTGAAACTGTACTTATATTGGTGATATTTTTATTATATTTGGCATCTTAATTATAATCTCTGTAGTTTAGATCCAGATAAACAGAAATACAAGTGTTTTTCTTTAGGTGACAATGATTCCGGGAAAACAACTTTAATAGCAAAACTCCAAGGGGTTGAAGACCCAAAAAAAGGCTATGCCTTGGAATATGCTTACATCGATGTGAGAGATGAGTACAGAGATGGTAAGTTAGGTTTATTTTTTTCCGAATTGATTTCTAGAAGAAAATGTAACTTTTAGATAATACAAGGTTGAGTGTTTGGGTTCTTGATGGGCACCCGGCCCATTCCCAACTCCTTAAATTCGCCCTGCCAGCTGAAAATATGCCCAACACTCTGGTTATGTTTGTCGCATCGATGACCACTCCTTGGGATATTTTTGATCAGCTGCAAAACTGGGTCATGGTGTTACAGGACCATATCGAATCGTTGAAATTACCCTCAGAGAAATTTCAAGAGTACCGCCAAAAAAGTAATGCCAAATTTATTTAAAAAAAAAAAGAAAAAAAATTGAAGTTGTTAATATTATTTGTATACTGTTTCAGTTGTTCACAAGTGGCAAGAATATGCCGAGCATGGTGATGATTTGGATATGGAGGTGAGGAGGACATCTAGGAACCTCGAGGATGAAATGGATCAACTCCCTCTCTCAGAAGGCGTCCTCACTTCAAATCTCGGTTTAGACATTGTCGTTGTGATTACAAAAGTAATTTGACATTGATTTTAATTTTGATCTGTTTTATTATGATTGTCAATTTCATAACTATAAAAACATTCCCAGACGGATTACATGACTACGTTAGAAAAAGAGCACGATTACAGAGACGCCCATTTTGATTATATTCAACAATGGATCCGCACATTCTGCCTTCAGTATGGGGCAGCTTTGTTTTATACATCAGCCAAAGAAGATAAAAACTGCGATCTCCTCTATAAATATTTAACACATAGACTTTACAATTTACCCTTTAGAACCCCTGCTCTGGTTGTGGAAAAGGAAGCCCTTTTAATGTGAGTAGACCTTGAACTCGAATCTATTTAATATTAAACTTTATTTAATATTAACTTATTCAATAGCCCATCGGGATGGGATAACATGAAGAAAATAAGCATTGTGTGTGAGAATCTCCAATACATGAAACCAGACGATTATTATCGCGATGTCATTCCACCTCCTTCAACAAGAAAAGTAGTAATTATTTTGACTTAAAAACCTCCTCAAAGTAAGTTCTTTTTAATCTGATTGTTGAATTGTAGGGTGCAAGCAGAGAAATAGAAATCGTAGCAGAAGATGAACAAGTATTCCTTGCTCGAATGCTCACTTTACTCCAGCAAGGACACGACCGTGCATCGCCAGCTGTTCAGAAAACAGGAGACAGATCGAGACTTCAAGCTTCCCCTATTCAAGGGCCTCATACTTCACCCAAGAAGGTACATCATTATTTTATTATTCACATCAGTTTTACCTTTATTTTATTGCATCAAACAGGTCGATGCGAGCAAAGTGACAAGCACAAGTGGTGAAGGAGTGCTTGCCAATTTTTTCAACTCCCTTCTTCACAAAAAGACAGGCGCAGTTGCCGGTGCTACCGGCTCGCCAAAAGCTCCAGGTAATAAATTTAATTTAATTTTGACGTAATTAGTTGTGCACGGAGTGACACTTACAGGGAGTTTAGAAGCCGCAGTCGAAAAGGCGTTCATGAGGTCTGATGCAGCTGCAGAACTAGATAGACTCACGAGGACAAAATCACCTGGGGGCAGCAACAGCTTGGATTCATCTAATTGTTAACATATTTTATTTCATTGTAATCTTTGTTTGTTTGTTTTTATTAGTATTTGATTTACATTGATTAACTACATGTTAACTAAATAATTTATATTTTATTTTCATGCAATATTTGTTTTATATTTATGTATGTTTTTTTCACCCTGTAGCTTAAAATCTTAAATAAAACATTTCATTGGATGCTTTTCTTTAGAACCCTCTATGAATAAAATGATAAGGTGAACAATAATACCAAAATAAAACTTAATTTGTATTATTACTGTTGGATGCGAGTTGAGGCAAAATTCCTGACATTTACAGACTATGCCCATTTAGACTGATAGTTTGGTGCCATAAAAATATGTAGATGCAGCTCATGACTATTCTAATCTTTACTCTGTTACTTCCCTTAAAGAGGGACTTAAATGCCCTGTCAACATCTGGAGTAGCAGGGATAAGTCTGATGTTTGGGAGACACCAACTAATCGGTTTTTGAGGTTCACAAGCATAATTTGGGACTTCTCAGCTGTCAGTTCTCCAGGTTTGACTCAACATTCCAATTCCCAACAATGTTAGGCTGGTTGGGGTTCATGCCTGAACGATAAGATATTTATCACAGAAACGGATACACAATTTTTATCTTAGGTGAGGTTCATCCAATCACAAAACCAATGTTCTTACTCTTTGAAATTTACAATCTTCACCCTTCATAATATTGTACAACACTGAAGGCTGTATCTTATGACTAGAGACCGGATTTATATTCAGTTGCAAATTTTGTTTGCCACCAGATACAATCGAGGAAATCAATTATCTCTCCGAATCATGTATCTAGGAGGCCCTAGGTTAAATTTTGTAGAGCAAATTTTTGCATATTAGTTGAATTCACATAACATTGCATTTTTGTACAATATCGCATATTTGAAGGATTTTTGCATTTATCGCACAAAATATTTAAAATATTATATTGGTTTTTGGGGAAAGCATGAAAAAATCTGTTGACAAAAAGTTGATTTCATTTGAAGAAAACTGAAACAGGCCGCAACAACGGTAAGAGAAGATTCTAGAAATACCGACAAAAGAATATAAAACTCCTTAGGTCTTATATCAATATTCTCACAAATTGTAAATGACTAGGCAATTTTTTTTTTACCTTTACCTTACAGTAATGAGAGCCGTGGCAATGCCTAAACCAATAGGCATAGCAGAATGGAAGGGCATAATGCTACTTATTGTGCAATTATCAGTAAAATTCACTGCAACCTGTTGAAGTAGGGTTAAGAAAAATTATAAAGTTTAAGCAAACAATATCAAATACAATTGAAAATATGTATTTTATAACTTTCGAATTGTGTATTCGTCAAAGAATAAATGTTATGGCTCTAGATGACCAGCCCATAATTGAATATTGGTTTTTGTCATAATTTTCTGTAAACTGTTCACTGGTTATATCTTTTTCTATGTACTATTCTTATAGTTTTTTCATATATTTGCTTAAACTTCAATAGTTGCAGCAAATAGACATACAAGTAAACATTCAAGTAAATTTCTGTTATTAATAATTCCAATCTAAACAGTTATCTCATAGAAATATAATATATTTGATCTATTTATTAAAATAAATACATACTATCTAAGATAAATTTATTGAACACTGTATATTTAAAAAATTAATTTTGTGGGATTAAAAGTGTGACTTCTCTGCTGCCATCTACTGTGCAGCAACTCAGCATGTGTGTTTGTCAAGTCACAAACTCAGTATCAGAAACCTCCTTGTGTATAATCCGGTAGTGATAATAAATTTGTTGAAAGTGACTTCAATGTAAAAATTTATCTGGAATTAACAATTTAAGTTTCCTATAATTCATTTGAACAGAACATCAACAGATATATTACAAGATGGTATTAAAAAAACAACAACAACATTGTTATATTTTATTCCAAGTGAGCATTGAACATTATTTTTCAGCATGGAATGGCAAAGATAAAGGCCTCAGAGGCAGAAAAAGAGAAGAAAAGGAAGGAAAAGGAGGACAAAGCTCGTCAGTACATGGAAAGCATGAAGAAGATCCTGGAAAAGGTATTCTCTTTTGTTCAAGCCTAACTCATTTTCAACATAACTTTTTAAATGAACTCAATTTTATGATTTAGTCAATTTAAACATGATGACATGTTAGAGTTGAGATGTTGGTCTTGCGAGTTGGTGATTTTCATGCTGAACCGACACTGGGTCCGTCTTCACTTGCGGTTTTGTTGAACTGCTCAAACACATTTTAGCATTGCGCCATCTTCAGCGAGAACTTAGTTCAACAAACCCGCAATTGAAGATTGACCCAGTGTCAGTTCAGCATTTTTTTTATTAATTAAATTTATTTATTGAAACTGGTCTTATTAGACCAACCATTAATTTTACAATAATATTATAGAATAAATAAATGTTTACATTCTTTTAAACCCATTGGTACAATAAGATTTACATTTTACTATTAATTTTTAACTGCACAAGTTCATATGGCTTTGTTCTTTTTAATCTTCTGACCATGTTTCGGTTATGTAAGAGTTCGGTCGCTTCCACATTCTTGTTGAGGCGAGCCTGGTTTTTTGCGGCAAAGGTTTGTATTTCCACCGTGACTTCAGGGATCTTAAGATCCCTATGTAAGTCCTTATTCCTTATGTACCAAGGTGCATTAACCATGCTACGTAAGATTTTATTTTGGATTGTTTGTATGATTTTGATATTGCTGTGTTTGGTACAACCCCATAGTTGAATACCATATGTCCACATAGGCTTTATGACTTGTTTATATAATAATATTTTATTTTGTATAGCAAGATTAGAACCACATCCTGTCAACCAGTATACCTTAAACCTATTTCTGTCCTTTTTTCTTCACGTGTTCTTTCCATCTCAGCTTGGCATCTAAGGTCATTACCAGATATTTAGCCGTATTGCTATATGGTATAGTAGTTCCATCGATTGTGAGCGACGGAACATGGTCCACCTTTTTGTTTGTAAAGATTAGATGAACTGATTTATGCTGATTTAGCTTGATTTTCCATTTTTTTGTCCATTCTTTATCTTATTACATGCATTTTGGAGGATTTTGGTTGAATGGGTGATAGTCGGTCCTAGTGATATCACCGCTGTGTTGTCTGCAAATGTTGCAGTTGCAGTTTTTACTCCATCTATTTTCGGAAGATCACTGGTGTATAACAAGTAAAGCAGTGGACCTAATATGCTACCTTGTGGCACTCCTGCATTTATTGTTTTTAATTTTGAATATTGATCTTCTTGTTTGATTATAAACAGTCTGTCAGTTAGGTAGGAACTGATAATATCGACATACTGCTTTGGTAGCATACCTTTTAGTATTGATGAGTCCTTCGTGCCAGACCTTGTCAAAAGCTTGAGAGACATCAAGGAAGATAGCCAAACAAATTTGTTTTTCTTTGAGAGATTTTTCTATTATGTCCGTTACTTGGTGAATTTGGTCTATTGTTAAACGTCTTGTTCAGAATCCAAATTGATGATCAGGAATGATTTTCTTTTTTTCTACGAGGTTCAGTATGGAAATCAAATTAGCTGACAAAAAAATCAAATAGAAATGATTTGAGGTGGTATGACATTTCACTTTTTGGAAAAAAATAGTTCTAGATAACCAGATTTTAAGTAATAAATACTCATCATCGGGTTGAAGGAGTTAAAAACACTTCTCTCGACATGAATTGTAGGGGCTTCACACTTCATGCCAAGAGACGTGTTTGTTTCTTCTGCCTAATGATGAGTACTTATTCCAAGAAATCCGGATAGCTGCCTAAGACATCAGTGAGTAGAATTATATTTTCCAAAAAAAAAAAAATCAAAGTTGAACTCATTAAACAGGATGCCGACGTTCAAGCCCGATCGAAGCTCCTGGCTAACTTATTACTTTCACTCAATAGAAACATTTTTTTTGTACCTGCAAAGTCATATGTGTGACTGCTAATAGTAGTGAAATAACATTTCCACAATTATGTGAATACTGTAGTAATCCACAAGAGTTAATCTAATTGAATGCAAGAAACCTTAAATTAGAAAACTTAACTTAGAATTCTTAAAAAGAAAAAAAAATATATCAGCACTACTGATTATTATTCTTAAACATAACAAATGTATGAAAGATGGTCTGAATGAGGATTGAAGAGTTATAAAAAAAAAAAGGTTAAAAGAAAATTTATTAATAATCAGCCTGACAGTGGCAGTTTGAAGCCTTATATCAAATAAATAAACTCCTTTCTTTATGGTATAAAATTAGTTTTTAATGTTAATTTTTCAGAGGGAAAAATCTGAAATGGATGACGAAGCTTTGACATTAATGAGTGACATCCTAGTTGAACATCCTGATGTTTACACATTGTGGAATTTTCGAAAAGAAATATTACTCACATACAAAGATAATAAGTAAAGAAAAAATAAATAACATATGCTGCATTGACCATATATTTAGAGTAGAGCAAGAGGATTAGCAACATATAAGTTTATTTATTCAATTTTAGATCGGAAGAGGAATTAACTCCCTTGGTAACAAGTGAAATGAGATTAACGGAAATCTGCCTTAGAGCAAATCCAAAGTCATATAATGCTTGGTATCATCGTCTTTGGCTTCTCAACCACTTGCCAAAAGCTGATTTAGAAACTGAATTGATGATTTGTAATAAATACCTTAAGCTTGATTCAAGAAATTGTAATATTAACAGACTAATTAATAAGTTAAAACAATTAGCTCACATTGATATTTTTTTTAGTTCACTGTTGGGATTATAGAAGAGAAGTTGTTTCCAAACTGGCGATTCCTGAAAGTGAAGAGTTGACTTATACCTTGGCCAAAATTGAAGAAAACTTTAGCAATTATTCTAGTTGGCATTATAGGAGTAAACTTTTGCCTTTGGTGTACAAAGACCCTACTGGGATAAGGCCGATCAAAGAGGAAATTCATGTCCAAGGTTTATACTTTTTTTTGCCACTCCTGTAACATTGCACTGTTTTTCTAATCTGCATTTCAGAACTGGAATTAGTCCAGAATGCTGCTTTTACGGATCCGACTGATTCAAGTGCCTGGTTTTACCTAAGATGGCTTCTCGGTCGTCTTGAGCCGAAATTGACAGTGGTCAGTTGTTACATAAAGAATAAAAATATATACTTGGCTTTAAGTAAATGTCTCACATCTGATGATAATTATGCAATCGAAGTTGAAGGACAAAGCCTAAAAGAATTTTTTTTAGATAAGACTGCACGTTTATGGGTACGATTACTTCATACAAGATTTTTTGCTTCATAATTATTTTTTAAATTATTTTATAGATGGGAGTTTTGCCTTCGAACCTTCCTTCAGAACTGAAAATTGTTTTTATCATTAATGAAACTAAGGAAGAAATCATTCTGAATAAAGAAAATAACTTTGCTTATTTTGTGAAGCCACAATTTGAAGCATATGTTGGAAAAAAGCTGCTTTCGGTTTTAAACGAACAGTTGGATTCTTGCAATCAACTTTTGGAACTGGAGCCTGAGAGCAAATGTAGTTTTGTCAAACAACTACCCACACTTTTAAAATATTACATTTCAAAATTGTTTCAGGGACTTTGCTCACTTCTGTTGTTCTTATGGAGGCAATTGACAAAGCAAAATACAATGATGTTATATTAAATAGAATAGAATTGTTAAGCAAAGTTGATAGCTTACGTAGAAATTATTATTTTGACACACGTAAGTTAAACATATTATTCCTGTTTTTCTATTATTCTATGTTTTGTTTGTCATTTTAGGAAGTAAATTCTTGATAGAGATGAAACTAGAAAACTGGGAGCCCAATGAAAACATCGATCTTTCAAAATTGAATCTATCTGCCTTATATCATTCACAGTACCTCAGTTATGCCGTTAATGTTGATTTATCGGGCAACAATTTAGAAGAGAAGTCGTTACCATTGTTGTCATGCTTAGTAAATTGTGAGGTAAAGTATTTTCTTTAAAAAAATTATCTTGTTAGATTTATATTGATTTTTTTAATTCCAGGTTCTATCCCTGAGAGGAAATCGTTTAAAAAGTTTGAAAGGATTTCCATACTTAAAGTCGCTCAAAAAGTTAGACCTTTCAAACAACAAATTCGACGAAGAATCAAAACTTTTCCCTTATTTATCAAAACTTGAGATGCTAAAAGAATTGAATATATGTAATAACACATTTGTAAATGAAGCAAAAGACATAGACTTCAAAATTGCTGGTGTATCTGTGATCTACAAAACCTAATAATTTATATTTTTATATGTTTGTAAGTCAAATTAATTTATATATATATATATATATGGTGCACATAAGCTGTCCCTTTCTTATTAGGGATTTAAACGGCACAATGTAATATGGACGCTTAAATATTCCTTAAAAATTGTTACAAATACATTTTACCTAGTTTATCATTTTTCCTTGTTATTTCCTTAAGTCTCACCTTACTTTTATTTGTAGTTTGATCCTTACTGATCATCTTGGTCGGACTATCCTCCCTGAGTTGGTCTGTCCAACATGTTTAGATATTTCGTCATCTTCGGTGTGACATGTTCGACAACCAAGTAGGCGAGGATAAGCTAACCAAGATGATCAGTAAGGATCAAACAAGTCAAGAAGTTATCAATCAAGAAGTTATCAGAGTGGAGTTTGGAATTTAATCGATGATAGGTAAACCAAGAAGGGAAAAGAAAAATGGGTTTCCTACATTGATGGAATAGACTGATTCTGACTGGTTAAGTATGTGATTCACAATGGGCGCTGAAAGAGAAGAAGGCCATGGAAACAAAGGTTGGTAGTGATTGGCTTCCTTTTTTCCACAGCGACTTAATAGATCGATTGCAGAATTTACCCTACTCTATTTCAATACCTCAGAAAGTGCTCTGTAAGGCAGTTGGGCTCTTTCTGAGGTGCCTGTTCGCTTATTTCCGTAGGCATTAATGTCAGCTTTCTGAAGTGTATATGCCTTTTTGGGTTAATGTTTTGCACTCACATAACGTATATTGGGAATTGTGATGTCTGCTGATTGTCTGGCAGTGTTGGCAAGTTTCTACTAGTTTTTCCATTTTTTAAGGTGATAATTTCCTTTAATTCCTGCCTCCTCAAAGAAAGGCGGATTTTTGTATTCCTTATTGTGATGTTTAAAATTTTGTCCCGACACACACTGCAGACTTTGACCGGATGTTAAATTGGTTGCTTATCAGCCTAAAGACATTTAGTGGGCACGCCCAAGAGATGCTAGTCAGTCGATACTTTCTTGACTAACTTAATCGTTAATTGTGAATTTCTTCCTGCAGTGTATGGGCTATTAAAACTGTAATTTGGTCCTTATTGATCATCTTGCTCTGTCTATGGAGACTTTCTGAGGAAGGAAAAATGACAAACATCTGTCAGGCTAACCCTGATAGGCAAGCCAAGATATCCACTACACAATCTTAACAATTGTTTGGCACAAATTAGACAACGGTATGCAGCCCGTTTGGCACAAATTCTTCTGTAGAGTAGGTCGATTAAAAATGTTAATAGAGACTGACAGTTGAAGAGAAATCTGCCAATGATATTGGAAATTGGACAGGTTAGTTTGCACCTGATAGTTGACCATTAGAAACTTCTTTGACATTTTGCACTTAGTGAATTCATCCAGTGTGTAGTCTTTCTCAATCCATTTGTTGAGTTCCACTTTTAGCATACTTTGGGGTGGGCCAATTTGCGGTTCTAGTCCATATGGCGTGAGGGATGATACTACTGCCTTTGCTAGTTTGCTAGCCCACACTGGTAATATAAATACTGGGTGTCCCAGAGACGGGGTGAAAATGGGTGATAGTACATCTTTTTTGAAACAATTTCCAACGTATAGTCTCTATACCTATCTTCAGTACCTGACGAATTACAATATTTTGTTAGTTTTTCCATGGAAACAGAAAAACCCAAATAATTATCATAAGGGCTACTACAGTTTTGGATTCAGCATTAAATTTTCTTTATAATATTTTCATCTGAATTTATTAAGGTTCTTAGTTGAAAATTATTTCAGTCGAAAATAGTACACAGGAAATTTAATGCTCAATCCATTTCTCAAATAAGGTAATGTTTTCATGGAAAAACTAACAAAAAATCATAACTCATCAGGGACTGAAGATAGGTAGGTATAGGGACTGTACGTTGAAAGTTATTGTAAATAGGTGTACTATCACCCAAAATTTTTTTGCACTCTCTCTGGTACACCCTGTATATAACAATTTATCAACTAGCTACTTTATGAGGGGGCATCAGTGGCCGTAACGGTTTAGGCGTTGACCCAACATACTTACAAATGATAAAATACATTACAAAGTTTATTTTATTTTATTTTTTTTAACACTGGCACCCCGAGGGTTGATATAACCTCTGCTGCTGCAAACCCTTATACCCTTATACTTAAACACAAGTCATATATTTTTAGAATTTTTAGAATAGCTAATTTTAATGTAAAATTTGAAGAAGAAAACATGTGTTAATTTTTTGATAAAGAAAATATAAACGTGGCCCAATGACAGAAAATCATCTTCAAATAAGGCTCATAGGGGATGGGATTTGTACAATATTTGTAACTGTACTCACACCACTTCTGACAGCGTTGAGTGATCCTTTTAATAGAGGGTTCTTCTGCATGGACGTTTCAATCCAATATCCCTTCAAAGAGGATAATACACGTAAATCACCGTTAATCATCTATTTTTTCTTAATGCCCGCTTTATTTGTCGCATTGTTCGAAGCGCTCAATTATTTATTTGTGTATCATGAAGTCAACAAAACTTTATTCGTTAACATATTTGACCAAGTGGTTCCGTTTCTCTTCAGCATGTCTCTGAGCTTGGTCTTCGTCAATGTATTAAAACTCCTCATTGGCAGATTGGCACCGAATTTCATTGATATTTGTAGGCCGGATGTTAACTGTTCCCTGCCCATTAATGTGTATACTTATATAACAAATTACACGTGTATTCTTGGAGAGAAAAACAAAGAGAAAATCATGAATGGGCGACAATCGTTTCCATCAGAGTATGCCAACATAGTGTCCCATTCGTTGGTTTATATCGCTTTATTTATACACGTGAAAGTAAGATGGAAAGGACTTCTTCTCATCAAGTATATTTTTCAAGTAATATTGTTTACGATTGCAGTCGGTTTATGTATTTCAAATGTCACAGAAAATTTGCACCATTGGAGCGATGTCTTTGCAGGATTGTTAATTGGTTCTTGCTTTGCAATTGGTTCTGCTTTTTACTTGACTGATTTGTATAAAAAGAACCCAAAAAGGGAGTGATGGTAAATAAAAAATGTTGTAGTAAAGTTGTGAATTAATTAAAAGTAATTTAATTTCATGTAAAACTAAGCCAATATAATCTGTACTACTTAATTACAAATGTGTTATTTATCCAAGGAGTGGTCGATATATGAAATTTTTTCTCCGAAAAATTTTGTTTTGTATTTTTTAAAACATTTTCTCCATATTTCCCCTAGTTTCTTTCTACAACCATCTTTACTTGACATAGGACGTTTAATTTTGGCTTTTACAACAGTTTTTCTTTAACTTTATTCTAAACAACATTATTCTGTGTCTGTGAGATATTCTCTCAACGTGTGACCAATGTTAGTACAAAGAGTGCCACACATATACTTTTATTTTGTTAATTTTCTTAAAAATTTGTCAACAATTAAACTTAAATTAATGTTAAAACTTAAAATTAATTAATTAAACAATTGTGAAATTCGGATATAGTGAGTGAATTTTGGAGAGTAATTCAAGTTGTCTTAGTCAGTTTTACACCATCATTTCGAAGATGAATAAATAATGCACATCCATCCCATGCTTTCTCAGTTGACTTTACAGGTTAGATACTTATGGATCAAGCTCTTGTTGCTGATTTCAACATAATGATTCAATTTTACTTGAATTTCGCCTTAAATACTTATTCACTATTCATACAGAATTGCTCTAATTAATCATTTGTCAAAAAAACTGTGTACTCTGTTAGCTAGTCACAGATTGGTATATTAGGTTTTTATACAACTACAAAAAATAATAGTGTTATCTGTTATATGCTTGAAAAAATTGATGAAGAAACTGGTAGTCAATCAAAGCAAGATTTGGTTACATTTTATAACCTAGCAAAGGTGGATGCTGTAGTTTAAATTAAAGTTTTCAGAGTGAGGAGTCGCAGGCCCTTGAGATTTTATCATACAACTTCAAAAAATAATGTTATCTGTTGTATGCTTCATGTTGAACAAATTGATGAAGAAACTGGTAGTCAATCAAAGCAAGATTTGGTTACATTTTATAACCTAGCAAAGGTGGAGTGGATGCTGCAAATGAAATTAAAGTTTTCAGAATAAGCCCTTGAAATTTTTTTTTACAATGCTGAATACTGAGAGTTTTACATATATACAATTTAATTAGTAAATAATAAGCTTTTCCCCGCTTTTTTGTCAATGTCCCCAAGTAGAAATGATCTGCTCATAGAAGTAGTGTTATACTTCTGTTAGTAGAACTAACTTTCCCAAAAAGTGTCTTCCCTTCATTCACAACAGTAAATACAGTCATTGTAAAAAAAAGTCATTATTGACTATCCTAAATTAATCTCATGTATTGATAATCTGTGGCTACTTATATACACACTTAACCACTCAAGCAAATAAATACACTATCGGTATTCGCCAGGGCTTTTGCTACTTGCCAGTGACTACTCTCCTATCACACTGCAAATGTATACATAACTACAAACACATCTGAACATGCTGTTATTTTCATGCTAATAAGTTCATTCACTTAAATTAAGGGTATTTATTTCAATCAACACATTAAAGAGCTTCGTATATGCGACCATGTATTTACTTCAGGTACAGAATCAACTTCGTCACAAGTCTCAAATCACTTCTGTGCTTTAAAAGTTTTTTAGTCTGCAGGCAGGTATACCTTACTCCTTACGGCATTAATTAATCGCACTTTGTTAATTTTTCAGATACATGTGCTAGAAGGCATAAATAAGCTAGTTATTTATATTATTTAGTTATATAAATTTAAATTGTCAGATTTCCTCCTGTGGTCTGCAGGGTGATGAACCTGTAATTTGATGCTTACCAATCATCTAGCCGTGCTAGGCTGATCCAGATGCGTTTTAGCATTTCATCATCTTCAGTGTGCTTGTGTGATTATTATATTATATATTATATAATAACTTAGCCTATTTAGCTATTTTAAATTGTGACAGCGGATTGATGAACCTAAAGTTTGGTTGTTAATTTTGGTCTGTCTAAGCTTGCTGATTTGATCTGTCAGATGTATTTTAGCATTTCACGATCCTCAGTGTGTTTGTATGATTCTTAGCCTGTCTAGCTGTTTTAAATTATGAGATTTCACCATGTTGTCTGTGGGATTATGAACCTGAAATTTGGTCATTAATGATAATTTTGGTCTGGCTGTACTTGTTTGGTTGGTTGGTCAAACGCAGTGAGGATAGGTTGACCATGATGGTCGGTAAGGATCAAATTATACAACATAAACACAGGATCAAATGTTTATATAAGGGCTACAAGTAAAGACTTGCAACTAAAAAGCAAGCAGACAGTTTTTTGACAATGTTGATTGAAAAAGACATGCAGCATAACCCCTGATTCGAGATTGACCAATTAAATAATCCTAAAATTTTCATAACTTAATCAGGTGATTAAAAATTCTGCTGGTACGAATAAATATTTTATTGTCTTTCTGGGCCTATTATAATCATTTTACACATTTCATTATACTGTATGTATTCATAAGTACATTTTTAATTAACTAAACAGCTAACTAAATCACAAATATCTAATAACTATGCACGTAATGTATACACCCCATAGTATTTTATATAAAGGGTAACAAACACAATAATTATTGAATACATAATAAAACCAGTCGAGGAGTCAATGTAAACTTCACTTTTCCTTTTATTGTTGAATATAAGATGTATTCTAATTTTTTTGATGTTTGTTTATTATTTATATGAGCCGTTGATTTTTTTTCCATCCACATCTAGTAGACTTTTAGTAATGTTTTTAGAGAGTAGAAGCATGATATTTGGATGAGGAGATTACATTTTAATTGCTATCAAGCAAGATAAATGATTATTTTATACTGGATATACGTTACATAGTAAAATTCTAAATTTCTTTTTAATAATCAATTGTTAGATAATTTGCAATTTCAAAAATGAGGTTAGTATTTACAACATCTTGGATTGGAATGCTAATGAGAACATTATATTCTGATAATAATGCTTTTGACAATTCATGCATCTTCCTTTAAAAATAAATAAATAAATCTGCAAAAGAAATAATTAAACAATGTTTGTCGTATTTATTTATACAATAATACTATCACATATATATTTTTATTTTTATATACAAGATAGAATTACAAATTACTTAAATCTAATAAGAAAAGATTTTACACAATCACAGTGGAAAGTGATGAGAATTTCATTCCTCATAATAACAATAAATAGCTTTGGAAGCATTTCAAAAATGTATAATAGTAATAATAATAATCATAATAAAATTATTAATAATGATAATAATAAAGTAATAATACCTTGGAAACTTAAAACATATATAAACATTTAATACATTTCATTTTTATACAAAGGATTGTAATACAAAATCTGTTGCAATAGATTGCAACACAAAGTCACCAAATATGCCAATAACAAAAAAAAAAAAAAAAAAAAAAAAATTAAAAACAAAAAAAAACTGGTTTTTCTAAACTGTCTTTAAGCAAAATACTTATATTCACAGGTTCTTGACAATATATACATTGAATGTTCAACCACATATTTTTATGTTACTGGTGTACCAGCTGGCCTGTTGTTGCTACTAGCATTTGGATTTTCACCAAGATGACTCGAGCAATAGAACTTTTTGTGAGCTATAAATGTAGACAGATAGTTAAAAGATATGTCACACGATTCACAATATCTTGGCCCAGCTCTTTTATTATTATTCATGCTAAGATCATCAGCTTGATCAGAAACGGGCGATTCTCTTGCAGCGTTCTCTTCTTCAGTCTTTATAAGAGGTTCTTCCTTGACGGCCACATCCTCGACTTCAATGTACTCTTCTTCCTCGGGGTCTTCGGGTTTTTCCCCATTGTTAACAAATTCTTCTTTCACTTTAACGGATTGTCCATTGCAAGACGTTTTGTCAGGTTGGGGTGATTTACTTGGCTCTTCGTCAATACTCGGAGGCTCTGCTGTTACACCTCCATTACCGTCTTCAATTATACAAGTAATGAAATTCTCCTCCTGAAAGAAATTGTTAATTATGAACTTAATTTTTTTGTTATAAAAAGACATGATTTTATTTATATGAAAGCTTCTGAAAGTTAAAACTGGAATAATAAGTATTACACCTACATTAACCTCTGTTGGCCGTTTATCAAAGTGCATCCTAATATGGGTTCTCATTCCTCTTAAAGTATTGCCTTTGTAGCGGCAAATTGTACACAAAAATGCTTTGACTCCACTGTGGGAGTCCATATGCTTTTGAGCAGCACTCGCAGTCGGGCTGGTCACCGGACAGCAGGGGCACTTCCACCCTACTGACATACCACTGCAGTGGTGTTCACCAACCATTGCCATCTAAAAAAGACAAAAACAAAGATAATTAGCAACATTACAAAAAGAACAAAATAGTAGAAAGAGAAAAATGATTTTTACCTTGCATTTTGGGCATCTCCTAGGTTTATCGGTTTCATTGATAGTTCTTTTTGGACAGTAGTAAGTTTGATGAGCTGTAAGATTATCATAAGCTGTAAATTTGATTCCACATGCAGCACATATGAATTGATACATTGTAGGCTTGGATGTTGACGGTGTGTTGGTAACAGGCGCAACGGGGCTTTTTGATTTTGTTTCTTTTGGAGGAGTGGTGGGAGGAGATGAAGATCCCATAGGACTAGGAGTTTTCTCATCTTGACTAGAAGAGTCAGCCACTTTTCTTGCTGAACAGTAATGCTTTTTGTGAGCTATGTAATTTTCAAGTTTGTAAAATACTATGTTACATTCTTGGCACTTTGAATCACCCTGCTTGACCAAAACTTGTGGAGGAGCCGGGGGCGGCGGAGGTAGCTCAGTTGAACTAGCTGCAGCAGCTGCTATTCTCAAAGCCATTTCTGATGTTAGAAGGGGTAAAATGGCAGCATGATTTAGTAGTTCTGCTGAAGGTCTTCCACCGGACAACTGAGGTAATGTCATCGGTATAGGCGGAATACTACTTCCTCCAGCCAACAATCCTGGTATAGGCTGTAACCCTTTGCTTTTGGAGAGTCTTGCATTATACAATGCCGACAGATGCGAAAGGATTTCTGGGGAAAACGGCAAATTTGGAAATTCTGATTTTACATTATGTAGACTATCAATTTGACTTTGGGTAACGGCAGCTAAAAGAAGATTTTGCAGATTGATGTTGTTGTTATCTTTAGCACTTGGTGGTATTTCAGGTGTATGTCTGTCTCTTGGAGATTTATTTATTCCATTTGGTGTCCGCCTTGGAGATTTTATGTTGGGAGAAGGTGATACCCTTGTGCTTTTTGGGCTTGGGCTATTACTATGGACAGATTCACTCCTTGGTCGTTTTTCACCCTTTTTCGCCACAGAATGTGGGGAAGATGATAATGAAGGGGATAGAGGAGCAGGTGAAGGGGATGAACATGTTGAAGATGTCGAAAGCATCAAAGGAATGGACGGGGCGCAAATAATATCTTCATGCTCAGGTGTTGTCGTATGAGTTCTCTGATTATTGACACTCTGACGGTTTTCTTTTTCATCCTCGCACATATCGACAATGACAGCTTCTTTGTCTTCACTTCTCCTACAACTTAAGTCAAGTGGTGATGTTCCTATTGGCTCGGTTGTCTTTGGTTTTTCCACCACTGGCTTTTGAACTTGCGGAGTTTGGAAGGGCGTGGCTCGAGGTGTTTTTTCGGCAAGGGGCCTAGTTATAGCCTGGGCCATAGGTTGCAGTGTTCCATCAGAAAGAAGAAGGTAAGCAGTATCAGTTGGATGAAGGCCTGCAGCTGCCGGTCCCGATAATAGACTAGCTCCTTGGAATAACGAATAAGGTACAATAAGGATAGGGTTTGTAGGAAGCGCAAGAAATGGTTGATCCCGAGTTGCTTCACTGGGTGATGACGCCCTTGTGTCCACTGGTGATCCTGGACTTGGAACTCCCTTGGGTTTCATAACATGTCGTGTACTGCAGTAGTGCATTTTGTGAGCTCTAAAAGTTTTGCTAGATGAAAAACGTATATCACAATCCTGACAATAGCGATCGACTGCAGGTTGGGGTGAAGTGCTTCTTTCGCCACTGGGTGAACTGCTATGCATACGCATATGCCTGTTCAGGCTGACTTTCTTATCGGCGCTGTAAGAGCAATGAGGGCATTTATACTGTTTTCCAGATCTGACTGCTTTTGTAGCTGGTTCTCCACTGCTGCTGTCACCACCACTCATTTCCTCCTTGTCAGCAACACTCTTAACATCCTCATTTTCACTTTCAGCACCACCTGAACATAAAAAATAAATCTGTTGCAACATGAAAAAAGGAAAATATATCCATTAGTGTTTAATGTAAATTTTTTAAAAACTCTTTAATGTTTAATAATGTGGTGAATTTTATCAAAAGGTTAAACTTAAAGAATAAAACAAATGTTTATATCTTGATCTCCGTCAATAACCCTGCCCTGCCCTGCCAAATGAAGACAGAATATTTGAGTGAGGTAAATGGTCACCGTATGAACAAAACACCAAAAACTTGCCTGGTGTTTTCTTCATCTGATGAGCTTTTACCTGATCCTCACTCACATAATTTCACTGGTTGATCTTCATTTCACACACTAAAAGATAGAATAGGCCAGACCAAGGTGACTTGACGGCAATCAAGCTGCGGACTTCACAAATCATTTGACTTTTTATAGTATACTTAATTTTTAAAAGTTTGATTTTGAATGTCAATTAATTACCTCTTGGCAATGTATGCATTCTATGAGAACAGTAGTAGGTCGCATGGGCTTCAAGAGTGCTGAGCGAGCTGAACCTTATGCCACAAGGGGTACAGAAGTAAACTGGAGGGGCAGAAGAACCTGACGGAAAGAAATAACAACAATAGAAAAAAAGAAGAAATTATTAAATGATAGAAGCTTGAAAAACCAGATTATAAATTTACCTACGGATAAGGGGAGATAAGAGATTAATCCTCCAAGGCCGGAGGACAATGGGGGACCGACCAAAAAAAAGATATCAGATACAATTTGGTAAAACAAAAGGAGTAGGATGATAACATGGAAGATAGAATTGGGTCCTTCCTTAATAGATTTCAAAAATTCATAATTACACCACAATAATAAACATGTTTTGTTTTGTTTAAAGTAAATAATTTTATTTTAGAAAAAAATTTTGTATATGTTAATCACATTCAATTTTTTTAGGTTAAATTTTTCTTCAAAAATGGTTTAAAGAAGTGTGAAGTCTTGTTTGGAAAAGAGTTTTTTTGCCAGTCCATATATTACCGTCACTGTAAAACTAAAGTGGTATGATAATTTCTACAAAACTTTTGATGCAAATGTTGATTAATATAATATTGATGATATGTAGAAGTACTAAGGTTTTATTTATTTTCTTAACTTATATTCTTCTTAAAATTTCAGAATTAGTGGCACAGAAATTATACTGCTTCTTGTGACTTAAAACTACACAATTTTGCATAACCAACAAAGTATGTAATTCAAGTTTATTATTAAAGTTGAAATTAAATAACAAATAATATTAATCTTCAAGTTATGTATACTAGATACATTGCAGTAGACTCAGAGGCAGCAAGATCCTTAAGACAAGTGGTTATTGTTTTTAAATTTTAAACTGTAAATTTACGGACTAATTATAAGTGACGTGTAAATCTTGAAAATTAAAATTAATGTACGGTCGCAAAAAGAATTGCCGTTCAAGTGTAGCACTTCACACGGAATCTTAAAAAACAACAACAAATTACTGTAAGGTCGCGCGTTAACTGGCCTCTTAAAATTAAAGAGATAAGCAATGGTTGAGTTAATTTTAAATAGGGAAGAGTTAAGAATTAATAACTGGGTTATTCATATAGAGTTTAGGTTTCATGCTAGCAGGATCTTTTTGACAAGGTGCTTGAACGTGACTTAAGAATATATTTTTAAGTGTACAACATCATAATAATATATGAATAAAGTTTTAGTTGAGCAAGCAAAAGTAAAGTACAGATAGATTTTATATTTTTTACTATTCCTTTTCGGTTGTTGACTCTTTATATTTCTTGGTTTCTTTTCAGCAATTAGTCAACCATCGAAATCATTTTCTTTACCTTACATTAAACTTTAATAAAAGTTCAATAAAAAGAAAATGAGTTTGATTGTTGGCTAGTTCCTGGAAAGAAACCCAAGAAATATAGATAGATTTTAGATTATTTATATTTATTGTTTACAATGTGGTTAAACCTCTAAACTACATTTTACACAAAACGTTTTAAATCTTGAGCTCTGCAGGTTGATGAATCTGTAGCTCGGTCGTTTCCGATCGGTCTGTCAGACGCGTTTCGGCCATCTTCAATGGTGGATATTGTTGTTTTTACTCTCCCTGCTTATAACCCTGCCCTGGCGAAAGGCCGAAGAACGACTCAAAGCCCGAAACGCCTAAGAGGAAGACGAAAATGACAAGAAACGACCAAATTACAGAATGGTAAAAGTAAAATCTCTCAAATAACAATATTGATAATTGACAATCGAGTTATTTATAAAACGGGCAGAGGCTTATCCCGGCAGGATCCTTTTTGACAAGTTTTAACCTCTTGAAATTCTAAACTATATTTTACAGAAAAAGTTTTAAACCTTGAGCCCTGCGGGGTGATGAACCTGTAGCTTGATCTTTAACGGATCATTTTGTCCTGTCAGTCGCGTTTCGGCCTTTTCAATATTATTTTGACTCACCCTGCTTATAACCCTGACTCATACTGGTGATAGCGAAAGGCCGAAGCGCGTCTGAAAGCCAAAAACAGTGAGGATAGAAAAACAAAATGAAATGAAACGGCCAAATTACAAATCCAAAATAGTAAAACTAAGATCCCTCAAATAGCAACATCATAATTGTTAACCGATTTACAGTAGAAATTGTTTATATTGACACTTGTTATAAGGAACTCCGGATTTAACGTACAAAATCTTCGTTCCCGTGAAATGTCATAAGGAAAAAACATAACGAACTGCCTTAGGAAAGATTCTTCCCCCCTTTTTTGCCTATAAATATCTTTAAAAAATCTCTAAAAAATAAGTAAATAAATAAATAAAAACCACGACTTTAGTCCCTTCTCTTGAGGAAAAATTCGCTATAATTTCTCGGATCGAAATGAGGAAATTGTGAGAGTAGTCTCGCAAGTAAAATGGGGTCGTTTCTTTCCAAAATATCGGGAATTGTGAAAAATAAAGAGAAAACCATCAAACAATTTAATAAGTGCTATAAAGTTAAAAAATACAAAAATAGTCAAATAACTCCATTCACATTTATACATACATAGGAACATATATGTATGTATGTTTAATATTTTAAAAACATTTGAGTACATAAATTAATTTAGCAGGTTAGTATGTATTTTGTATTTCCTCATAAACCTAGATAAATTATATAATTACTAATATAATGAAAAATGCTAAAAACGTACATGCCTCTCAATTGGATGAAATGTTCAGCTATAATGAACTATAAATTTTATGGTCCTGTGAAGATCGTTATAAACGATTTATACTGTATTTATAAAACTGGTAGAAACCTTATTCTAGCTGGATACGTTTTGACAAGGACGTCAAAGAATTTTTATACTTTGGTGAAATTTTTTTTCTATATTAAACCATATTTATTTAGTGGTCATAATGAGCTATATTAATTTTCCAAATTAATTATTCTTTTTATCTAAGGTTTTTGGTTGGGTTGAAAAGATCACTTGAACTAACGTGTCTTCGATCCTCTCGGACACCACCTCCCCATCTCAACCTACAACCTTTCGAATTTTTACTCTTTTTTGTTAGTTTTTAAATGCCGTGTAATCAGGATACGATTTTCGGCGACTTATGAAGTGGAGATGTTAGCGAAGTGATTTTTAATTATTTAATTATTATTAAATCCATTATATTTAGTGGTCTGGTTGACCAAATTACTTCTTTCAATTAATTAATCTTGTTATATAAGGTCTTGGTTGAGATGAAAAATCTGTGTCATGAGCGGGATTCGAACCCACGACCTTCGGCCCAATACGCCGCTGCTCTACCACTTAAGCTATCGTGACTTCGATCCACTCGGACATCAACCCCCCCATTTCAACTTTCATTTTAATTATTATATTAATCCATATATGTTTAGAGGTCTTATTGACTATTTCATTATTCCAATTAATGTGTAGAGATTAGTGACCGCTAATCGATAGTTATTCAGATATCGTGAGATGCGGTCGGGTGTGATGTAGGTTTCAGAAAAACATTTTCTTTATCNTCTCAATAAAAGATCGAAACGTTGGCACGATAAAGAAAATGTTTTTCTGAAACCTACATCACACCCGACCGCATCTCACGATATCTGAATAACAATTCCAATTAATTATTATTTTTATTTAAGGGTTGAGATGAAAAATCAGTGTCACGAGGGGGATTCGAACCCACGATCTACGGCGCAATACGTCGCTGCTCTAACCACTTGTGCTATCGTGACTTCGAAATTTTAAAAATGGCAAAAAGAGGGAAAATTCGAATGTAGGTTGAGATGAGTAGTTGGCGTTCGAGGGTCGTGGTTCGAATCCCGCTCGTGACACTAATTTTTCATTTCAACCAAAAAATTGTAAGTTTGTATTATAGTTTTTACTATTTTCCAAGATTTTTTTAACCTTAATAATATTAGAAAAAGTAAAATTCAGTTCCATGTCTATATATTATTTGGTTTATATAGTACTTTTTATAAAAATGGTAGGTGTTTCAAGTCACTCACTTTTTTACCCTTTCACACTTAAAAATTGATAACTTTTGATGTTTTTATTGTGTTGTTAAGGCGACATAAATGTTGACTGAGGATTATTTTTTGATAATTTTAAACTGAATTCACTTACATTTTTAAAAGCCAAAGCCAACTCAAACACAATAAAATAATTGTGTATTCAAAAAATAAAAAAGTAATACAAGGAATGAAAAAATGTTTTGTTTGGCTCGGAAATTCATAATCTAAGGCAAATGACTGATAGCGAGTTCGCCAAACAAAATAGAAGATAATGTCGAGATAGGTAAGTTAATTCTAGATAAGGCTCATTTCATTAATTGACCCTCTCAACTAATAACTCTGGAGATATTAACCTGAGTGAGTCGACGGGGTGGGTGAGGAGCCCTGTTCGGGTTCCTGGGCCAACCTGACAGCCGGGTCCGTCGCTAGCGACGTGTTGAGCCTCACCACTGGCAAAGGGGAAGCTGAAGACTTTTTCCTCTCTTCGACTTCTTTGTCTTCCTCACCGGCATTACCCTCCTTCCACTCCTCCTCTTCGCCCCCTGTGACAAACACACAAAACAGTCATATAAAGGTACTATCGTATTCCTTCTCGAGACGCAATTAGCCGGTTATCGGTATCATGAAGCTTCGTGGAACTCATTAAGAAGTTGGCCGATTCCACCGTGCGATACGCCGGCCAATTGGATCTGAATATAATGGCTCCCCGGCCCTTATCTCTCACCCCTCCGCCCTATCGCCCTACAATCAACCCCCAGAATCAATTACAAAGTATCAACAGATAACACAGTGCGTGTATGTGCCTTGGATTTTGAATTATATTCCAACCCATTTCCTAAAGCCAATGCTTTATCGCGATCCAAATATCTCAACTTTATTTTTAACTTCTTTCTTCTCGCCTTTTAACGTTCATAGTTTTACTTTCATTTAGAGCTATCCGAGAATATTAATATGGAGTTATAACAAACTTTTGTCGATCAGTCGACTTATCTGGTTATAAATATGAGTATATCACCTTTTAGAGCTAATATACAATCTCATCTCTCTCTCTCTCTCTCTCTCTCTCTCTCTCTCTCTCTCTCTCTCTCGCTTCTACCTAATCTTTCTTTATCTATTTATTTATCTTTAGATATGTACAGATAGACTAGATATGAGTTCCAAAGTGGTTCCAAAGGTGGGCTTATCTCTTTTCAGCAAGGGTTTGAAGTATATACGAGAATATACTCAGGGAAGGATAAAATTTTGTATTACTAAATGAAAATTTTTGTAGTTAAAACAATTTAATGAAATAAATTGATAAATGAATATATAGAAAAACATAAGAAATTATTCTACTTTATTTAAAAATTACTTATATAAATTGGCGAATAAAAAATGTGCAATATTAAATAATATAACGATGAAACAATTCAACTGTTAATCACCTAGTTTTATTTTTATGACTAGGTGTTCTTCCATTGAAAAAACTTATTTTTCGAAGGGGTCCGGTACGAATACAGAGAGAGAGATTCGAACCAGACCGGGATCATATGTTGATGAGTATATTAACGTATCGTTGCGGCCGGCCTTATGGGGCAGAGAAAATCCAGAGGGGACGGTGAGAATCGAACGCACGGCTGTGGGATATCCTAGCCGGAGGACGCCTTACCGCGATTCCCCCTTCTCTGTAAATTCAATACATTTTGTGACATCTTCGTGTTTCGGGCCTCCACATCCCTTTCGTAAACAAAAGACATAAAATAGTGGCAAAAAGTTTTTGCAAAAAGCGTTTATTTTTTTTTTACTTAGCATTGAAAAAATATATCAATTAAATTTAAAAATCTAACAATATAAAACATATTTAAATATTTATAAGCCATAGTTTTTCAAATAATTTTTTTCCAAAACTTTTGATTAACCCTCCAACTTCTTTATTTTGATATTGTTTACAGTTAATGGATTGACAATTTGATTTTTAAAATGGAACCAAAAAAAAAATTAACACCCTGAATTTAAAAAAAAATACAGTGAAACATGTTGTGATTTTTGCCATTACTCCACTACCATGTTATTGTTCTTTACTTTGCTATGGTTGTTTTTATTAGTGTGTTATTTTATGCAAATGGCCGTGTATTTAGAACATAACCATTAAAATTCCACTAATTAAAATTCAAGGATTTGTTTTCAGGTCTGAGAATTTGTTATGGAGCTATGCATTTTTCTTAACTATGCGACGATATTGTTTATGAATATGAATCGGATCTCTCTCTCTCTCTTTTTCTCTTTAAAAGTCTTTTACTCTTTTTTTTCTCTCTCTCCCTCTCTCTCTCTTTTTCTCTTTAAAAGTCTTTTACTCTTTTTTTCTCTCTCTCTCCCTCTCTCTCGTTTTCTCTTTAAAAGTCTTTTACTCTTTCTTTCTCCCTCTCCCTCTTTCTTTCTCTTTAAAAGTCTTTTACTCTTTCTTTCTCCCTCTCTCTCTCTCTCTTTAAAAGTCTTTTACTCTTTCTCTCTCTCTCTCTTTTTCTCTTTAAAAGTCTTTTACTCTTTAAAAGTCTTTTACTCTTTCTCTCTCTCTCTCTCTCTCTCTCTCTTTAAAAGTCTTTTACGTTATATTTCTCCCTCTTTCTCTTTATTTAAATATATACATGCAAATATAACTTATTTAATCACAGCCACAACATTCATCTACTTTCGTCTTTTCTTTTGGAGTAACCACTTTTTCTACATTTATTTTCAAACATATTTGTGTGGAAATATGAAACTACGAGGATCATATAATTATTATTCCTTATATAAACGAGCTATCCGGGGGATTCGAACCCAGAACCGCTACCGTGGCAAATACCAGTCGGATGACCTAATAGAGTAATACGAGAAATCATTTTTAAAATTTATTGGTTTAATAAAACGAATTATAGAATAGCCCATGGCTTTTTAATTGAGAATAGTAAGAAGTTCGAAAAATGTGTCCCAAAGTGGTTTGACTCTCCGTGGCACCGAGCGAGTAGTTGGATGTTAAGCCCTTCTGTATGACAGGAATTATTTTATTTTTTAAAAACTTTTATGATAAATAACATTTTCACTATATCATATATTTTTACTTTTCCATTCAATCACTTTCTCTCTTTCTCTCCATCTCTCAAACATATTTAAAAACAAAAACATAAACACCTCCCTCTCATCTTCTAATTCTGCTCTCCCTTTTCCGCCTTTTACGTCCTTTTGGCTGTGTTTGCTCGTTTGGTTGAACAATATCAGGCATGGTTCATATTAAACGTGCAATTTTTATTTCACTACTCATCGTTCCGTATGAAATAATTTTCACTTGGTTAAATCATGTTGGATGTTTTTCCTTAGTACAATTTTTAAAGGATGTCGACAGATAGAGATCTGCGTGAGCGTTAAATGACCCCAAGCCATTAAATTATAGCAAAATTAGACGTCCAGTAATTTCTTTAAAAAATCTCAATTGAGACGTTCAAATAGAATACATTATAACAAGCACAAGTATTTAATAATACAATGGATGATTTTTCCAAAGTTCGAGTTAATACGTGATAGGAGTTATTTTGGTAGATTGGAATAAAATAAATGTTTATTTATAACCTAATTTTCTTTCTAAACAACACGAATTATCTTATAAATTACTATCGACATTCGCAGTAATAATTTTATTTTCTTAAATGCAGGTCATGGCAGGTCAATTGCTTCTGCGCTATTAATCGACACAATCGGTTAGCAAATAGTCTTTTGATTTGTTTAATTAATATAAACAAAGGATTTGCAATTAAGACGAAAATTTAGCTTTTCTGTTGTTTCTTTAGAATAAAACGACTGACGGTCAATTCTGATTGTGAGTCTGATTTAAAGCAAGCATCCCGTTTGAAATGTTGCGTACAGGGGCTTCGGTAATGTTTCATAATATAAAATTGGATCTTAAGATAAAATAATATACACGATAGTGGGATGTACTATGATACACTCTTGGTCATTAAGGGGGAAACGGTTCATCTGAGTTTTTATATAATATAGAACGACCGGGAAAGAATGCAACATTATACCAGATCGACACTATCTTTTATTATCATCGGATTGAGCTCGTTCAATTTTGTTAAAATAAAACAAATCAAATTAAACTAATCACCCAGACTCAGATTAATTGTAAAAGAAAAGATTGAGTAAATTAATATAGATTTTTTCTTGTTGGAAAATCACGATTTAGCACATCTTTGTCCCTATGTTCTCGCTTTTTATCAATTCAGTCATTAATAACAGCAAAACAATACAAGATCAAAACAACAAAAATTTGTAAAAATTATCAACCCCTTTCTTTTAATTTATAAACATTTTATCTATGAAAATTGTGAACGTTCATTATATTTAGTGGTCTGATTGACCAAATTACTTATTTCAATTAATTAATCTGTTTATGTTCGGTTTTGGTTTAAATGAAAAAGTTAGTGTCACGGGCGGGATTCAAGCCCACGACCTTCGGCTCTAACCACTTAAGCTACTGTGACTTCGACCCTCTCGGAAACTAACTACTCATCTCAACCTATAAACTTTCGAATTTTCCCTCTTTTTTGCCATTTTTCAAATGTCTTGACTCAGCATTCGAATCTCGGCGATTTAAGAAGTGGCCACGGGGAGATGTTAGCGAAGTGATTACTTCTTTAATTATTTATGATTAAATCCATTATATTCAGTGGTTGATTGACCAAATTACTTCTTTCAACTAATTAATCTTTTTATATAAGGTCTTGGTTGAGATGAAAAATCAGTGTCATGAGCGGGATTCGAACCCACGACCTTCGGCCCAATACACCGCTGCTCTAACCATATGTGACATCGTGACAAGTGATTAGAGCAGCGGCGTATTGAGCCGAAGGTCGTGGGTTCGAATCCCGCCCATGACACTAACTTTTTCATTTCTACCAAAACCGTACATAAATAGATTAATTAATTGAAATAAGTAATTTGGTCAATCAGACTACTAAATATAATGAACGTTCACAATTTTTATAGAGAAAATGTTTATAAATTAAAATAAAGGGGCTGATAATTTTTACAGTATTAAGGGATTTGTTGATCTTCTGTTAAAAATAATTAAGACAAAAATAGAAAATACTCCAAAAACACTGATATTTATTTAATTATACAACATGAAATATTACTGGGTGATTCATCAAGTAGTCATATCATAAATTAGTTATTACCAGATTAAAAAAATAGAGTATTTTAAGATTACTGTATCATCAGAAAACTGGATTTTCCATTAATTTTGAATACCTGCCTTTTCGTTTTTCTCCGTTTTCAGTTTGGAGTTTGTATTTTGTTTGTTGGGAGTGTTTGTTTTTTCAAAATTTTCACGGCTAATAATGTTAAATTTGTTTTCACGTTCCAAGCGTTAACAAGGTGTTTGTTGTTCTGTCCGTTTAAAAAGAGTGTTTTACTACCTTGCACAAATAATTATCAGTGACACAATGATCAAAAATAGCACTTCATCTAATCGCAATTCGGAGAGCCGTTTTAGGATCAAGATAAAATCGAATTACTAAAATAC